TACTATACCATTGGTCAGGGAAAGCTTTAATTAATTATTCATGTGCCAAAGTTGAAAGTTTAAACTAAGTCGACCCTAAACAGTATTTTAGTGATAAGGCGATCCGTTGCCTTATATAAAGTATATAGTCATTGCGCATGACGCGATCAGCGGAATGAGGTCACAAGATGTGGAGGTTTCGTCCATAGTAAAAAATACCAAACGAACTCACACTTTAAAAATTCATAGCTCAAAAAGTACTTAAGCTAAAAAGTTGATTCTGGTTTCATTTTTTTATTTGAAATTAGCTCTAACTAACTGTGCTATTAAAAAAATTATTTGAATTTTTTAAAATTTTGTATCCAAGTGCCTACTATGACTTTGAAGTTTAAGTAAAATTGTCCACATACACTGAATAGGCTTTTCTGGTTCATCATCTTTTTCTTTAACTTTACGTTGATCAGATCCGAGATGATCAGGCATGATGATATTAACTAATAGCCCTAAATGTTTTCTGTAAAGCTAATAAACAATGAGATAAAGTCTAAGAGCACAGTGATAAAACACTTTAGCTACTTCCCGTTTCCCAGTAGTGAAAATATATATTCACTCATTAAATTCTATAATATATTCACTCATTAAATTCTATAATATATTCGACTTTCTGTCGGTAATCGTTAATTAATCAGTCTCATAGTTGTTAAAATTATTGTGTTCAGTGTTCAATGATTGTATGAAGAAGTGGTACATTTCACATTTATTGCTCCTTCACATTTTATTTATAATTATGACATAGACTAATAATTAGGAATGATCCCTTTATTACTTTATTATATTTTCTCAGCTCACCCTGCTACCTTTTAAGAATAATTTATAAGATCTTTAATCTTGACACTTTTAATTGCCTTTTAATAAATCTAATCTTCTAAAACAAACTAAAATAGTAGGGCTTTAATTCAGATGTTTGATTTTAACATTTCGGATACAAAATGTTAAAATAGGTTCCCTGTGCCTTATACCTTCAAACTTTGATCAGTTTAAAAGCATTGCCAATAAAAAAAAAAATTAAAAAATGATCAGATGCCCATAAAGAGTTATGTTCTAATAGCATGGATTATATTTATGACTGAGAAAGGGCGTCCTTACCGGATCGTTGAAATGTTTTTAAAAAATTTTGATAATCTATTTTAGATTATAGCGACGTACTCATTAATAAATTATTGGTAAGTTTGATGTCATTATATTCTTGTATGAGTAAAATCTTTATTATAATATTTGAAGAAAACTGTGTAAAAATTCATAATTTGTTATATGTTACATATAGACCAGTATAGACCATACAAATGTTAGTGGGCCACGAAAGAGAAGTGTACAAATAACCGGGTCACGAAATATGTTTGGGAAACGCTGCTATAGATGTCCAGCAGTGGACATAGCATTAAAATAGCATTGCCCTATCATCATCATATCAAGCTTCTAAAATGTGAGCTTTTAGATATTTGTGCATGCACTACGATGATCCCAAAATTTGCCTATCCTACAGCAAACAAATATACCTAAATTGGGAAGCCTAAAGCGCCTGTTAGACTAGACACAGTTTAAGCAGCTACTTGCAGGTCCGGCTCAAGGCGGGTACGATGCGTGATCATTGCGTCAAAATTTGTTAAAATCAATATAAAAACACATTTTTAAAATCTGAACTCTTCCCATAATTTTCCGGAGGGCGACAAGTGACAAGTGCCTATTTTCACCCAACCTAAAAATGTCTAGCGCCGGCCCTGGCTGCTTGGGGTTGTGGTAGATAGCTTAACTTAGGACCTATTTCATAGAAGAGACCGAGTAGTGAAAACGTAAAATTAAGGACAATGGCCGGTGAAATAATAGAAGAAAGAAACCTCGGATCAATAGTGAAAATTAATTTCAAATAATAATAGTTTAAATTTAAAATATACAAATATACAATAAAAATGTACGTGTGGAGGCAAATATCCTACAATTCGTGTCCTCTAAATTATAGGACTAAAATTGTAAATGATGGTTTCCCCAAGTTCGAAATATTGCTTCATTAATATGTTCCTGTGTCTAAGTAATTAAAGTTTTAAGCTTATTTTCAAAGTTCTACATTTCTTTTTATAATTAAATAAATTCATTATAAAACGGTTATTTAACATTTTAAAATGCATTGTTACTTTTGGAGGGGATGCGAGACTAGACAAATAATTATAAGGCTATGAAAGTATGGGTTGTGGGGTAGCAGTTGTCGGAAAATCGCGCTCGCGACCTGAGTGCGGCTTGGCCAGTTGGCCACAAATCGGATTTGACTCTGAAAAACATGGTTCTTAAGTATTAAGAAGTTCTTGAAAAGAAATTTGGCTCTCAAAAAATCTTTTAATCGTCCTGCTGCTGATTTTTGGCTCTTTTGACTAATGAATTTGCCAACCACTTGGGTAAGCTATAGAAGAAAAGGTAGGGAAACCACATCTAAATAATAATTATAAATAAAGTTATTGTAAGGTGCTCTAAATTTTCGATTAGTTATTCTTCTCTAAACTGACTAAACTAAAGCCTTCAGTTTCAGACAGGCATTGGTCATAAATTCAATAACTTATTCATCTGATCAACATCACTTGTCGGCACGTCTCATAGTGCTATATTTTTAAGGAACTGTGACAATCTATGACTATACTATTACTATTATTTATACTGTACTGCTAGTTATAGCCTACTATTTATTATACTTTAAACAAACATATAATAATATAAATATAATGGTTTTGCCGCAAAAGCTAATTTACCAATAAAAGTTCATATCTATGAAGTCAGTTGTCTCCTCTTATCATACATTATATTTTAAGTTATGGATTTTTTTGTTTTTGTTTTTGTTTGTTTGTTTGTTTGTTTGTTGAATACTTTTAATTATTAAATCCACTTTGTTTATTTAGTATGAGCCGGAAAAAAAAAGTTCCAAAAATAGATTTGTACACGTGACAACACCCACTTCAAGTCCCGGTATTTTTTTTTTTATCATTGACCTTTAAACTATGACCTTAGAAAAATGAACAAATTGATTATTTGTTTCTTCAATTCTTTTAAGCTCAACAAGCAAAAAACTATGCATTACACATTTAGGATAAAAAATGTTGCAATTAAAACATTTTATTCTATGTCTAAAGTTGATTGAAAACAGAAATACTTTTCACTAACTTGCCGATCTTAAGTGAAATTTTATTGGCTCAAAACGAAGATTTTTGCCACAAGTTCAGAAATCCAGCCAATGATATGATCTGTTGTGTGGTGTTTCCCAAGTGCGTATGAATTTAGCAACGTAGGTGTATTATTTCTCAATCTTATTCTCACCTTTCCTGTTCGTGGTTGGTAAGTGTTATTTCACACATATTTTGGTAAAATTTTCTGTGAATCGCTATTTCAAGATAATAACCTGAATAAATAACTTTTCAGATGAAATATTCAGCCACAGTGGAGACCGGAGAAACGATAGCTAACCTTTAGGACGGACTTTTACGGACACAGTACATGTAAGTAAAAATTCTCATGATGAAGTATGGAAGCAGCCATCATTGTTAAGTATATATTATGTTATGCTTACGTGGTATGGGGAAAGAGAGGAAAACTGACATTGGACTACCATCACATTTCTTTGACTCCTTCGAATCAAAGAATATTTACTTAGTCCAACCAATACTATCTGTAATTTTCATTGCTACTGTTGAGCTTCCTTTTATCCAAATTAGCCCTAGTATAAGTCGAAAGCAGCCCTAACTCTAACTTAGGCCAGGCTTAACCATCAACCAGCCTTAGCTTAGCTAACTCAACATTGACATTAGAAATAACCAACTACCAACTGTTCCAGCAACAGTTAGGGCTGCATTAAAAGTCAAAATGCTAAGTTAAGCTAATTAAACTTGTAGTTTTTAAAGTTAGAAGTCTAAGACTTAGACTAGTCTGAAGTAAAGTTATCATCCCCAAAAATTTGCCAAGTAAGTTAAGTCTAAGTAACTAACTAACTACTAATATATAATTATACTAAATGTAATAATAGTAGTAATACTTACTTGCTTTACAATTTAAAGAACAGCCACTTAAACTTACTGCAGTTATGTCTCAATGAATTTTGATTTACAGTTGAGCCTCAAATAAAGAAAAAAAATTTAAAATGAAAAATGTTTTGTGACCAGTAAACAATTTGTTGTTTCATTTAAGCACACAATGCTACTGGCTCTGTAGTACTTTGGCTTGTTTACAGTAACAGTTTATCAGACTGAGTGCTCTCTTAAAATCTCTTAAAAAACACAGATTTTTAATTAATTTTTTCATATTTTTTGTTATTTTAGCCTTTATTATTGCCCCTTAAGCCTTAAGAGAAACGTATTATTAATTGGAATCTTTTTAATTTGGGAGTATATATTATAGGCATTAACAAATAATGCAATACTGCAAAATCGCTGATCAATATAATTCTAAAGAACAAAGAGACATTAAATGCGGCTGATTATAAAAATACAATTATCAAAATAAAATGCTGGAACTTTGGAACAGATTAATTCAAAATTGATTTTAATAAGAAAAATTATTTTGGTTAGTGAACACTTTTAGACAGTCTCCTTAGTAGTTTAAGTTACAAAATTATAAAATTAAAATGTAACCAGTGTACTTAATGTAACAGTAGACCATAGATGCCTAGAATTAGAATATAACATTAAAAGTTTTTTTTTAATTACAAAAAAATCAGCTTGATACATTTATGATGAGCATGCATTTTAAAAACATAACCAGCAAAAGTTTGTTTGTCCTGTTACCTGAAATTTAAATGATTCTGTTTCATTTCATATTATGCTGTGTAACAGTATTTACAGTTTTGAGTTTAACTTTAAGTCTGAGTTAAAAATACTTGAATAGGCGTAATTTTAAAATATTTTTACTTTTGAAAATTAATTTACATTATTGATTGTTACGTAGGCCTAGCTCAACATATAGTGAAATTAGGGCCTACTGTCAGTGCCCTGTTTTTGTTGCCTGCTGTCAACAGAATTGAAAATGTGCCTTATGTAACATAGCATTCATTATGATTACAGTTTTCATATTATTTTCTTTAAAAAATATTGTGCAAATTATTATCCTACTTTAAATCTACCATAATTTGTTAAAATAAAAAACTTCTATAGTTTGTTTCAATGGAAAAAACAACAATGACACAATTTGATAAGTTGTTCAGCATCATTCAAATATGAAAGGGGTATCATATCTAAGTTAAGGGAGCTAGTTTATAACTTCAGTTAAAAAGAACAGTCACAGCTGTCTTTTAAAAGACCTAACTTTATGGTGATTGGTTGAGATATTGACAATTGTTGTGCATGACAGTAGAGTTTTTCAGACATGCAACTGTGTCTCTTTGCAGATATTCAAAACAGGTTGAGTGCAAAAATAATAGTGATCTCAAAGAAGGTTTTCTTTTAAGTTAACAAAGTTCATATTACTTGTAAAAAGTAAGAGCTTGGATCATTTTTTTTTTTTGCCATGTGGCACACTTCTTTCAATCTGAAGATAACTGACCATGGTATATTTCACTAATATAAAATAACTCTTTTTCAATTATTCCCAATGTGTATATATTTTTTTCATTATAGCTGTACTGTTCGACTTGGCAAGTCTACATTAACCTGCAACCTCTAAACCATGGCAACAAGCAACAATAATGATGGGGCAACATCCAGCAAGGTTGATCTCCAAGCATTTGAACCTGAGTTTCCTACCTACGATAATGCGTTCCCTAAACTACCTGCTGATGCTCGTGCTGAACAACCAATAGCACCATCAATTGCCCCAGGTGGAGCATGGCAGCCTAAGTTCTTGACCCGTCAATCAAAGTGTACCCAGGTATATTTAAAGAAGTTTTCATTTCACTGTTACCTTTGGTGAACAGGCTCTTAACTCCAGTGACTCCAGCTACATCCATTTTAATGTAATGTGTTATTCTTTGTGGGTTCCACTTAGAAAATTTATAATGTAAAATTTGGCATCTTTTTATACGACAGGTTTTTACTGTTCCTCTTGAGGAACGTAAGTTCAAAGAAATCAACGAACGTCAATTTGGTGAAGAGAGTGAACAGATGAAGATCTGCAAAGAAATCATGCAGAAAACTGGTTAGTGGCAGTCTTGTTGATTAAAATAGGAGCAAATATGTATTTGTGACAACAAAGTGTTTCTAAATTCGGTACTTGAATTTGTTTTTTAAGGTTTGAAGTTTGTTTAGCTTTTTTTTCTTTCAAATAATAAGAAAATCTAACAAATTAAAAATTTTCTATTTGAAAAATTGAGTTCAGAAAACAGAAGGAAAATGAGAATTAATATGTCTGTTCAATTCACAGTCTATTACTCCAGATTTCTTTTTATGCTTAAAAAAGTTTTTAAATAATCTTTCAAAGGTGTATCAATTGAATTAAGCATGGCTAAGGATCAAAGTATGACTCTGGTTATCAATGGACGACAAGATGCTGTTATGAAAGCTCGACGGGAAGTTGTAAGCAGACTTCAAACTCAGGTTAGTTCAGCAACTAATAAACACCTTTGCTCTGGTAAGCAACATTTGGAAAACATCTTGACATAAGTCTAGTATAACAAATTTAAAACAAAATGGAATCCCAAAAGATTCAAATAGATGAAATGGGTTATAATATTGTTGGGGATTGCACACAACCCACGAAGTGTGATTGGCCAATTTCCTTTATCTCAACTGTCGGTCGATAAAATCGGCCAAGAAAAATTGCGTTGAAAGAATAAGTTCCAGCCCATTATTTTACACCAAATAAAACTACTTCCTTTTAATAATAAATAAGCTCCTGTTTTTTGCTCTTCTGTGTCCTTTTTTAAAACTTTGGAGTAATTTTTTTCAACAATCTTTATCAAGCAAATTTGTGTAAGTAGATTTTCGCGAAATGGATGAGGCCATAGCTGGACCATCTGGCTTACGAAATAAATCAGTTAGGAATCTTTTTGTTAATTCTTATCAGTTAATGACTTAAGTGATTCGGAAGATGATTTTCAGATTACACACGTAGACATTGATAATTCCAATTATTTTTCTAGTGGGTCCGAAAGTGAACGTTCGAACGATTTAGACCTAGGCCTAGAACGAGTATGTGTTGCAGCAACAACATGACTCGTTCAAGACTATGTTACAGATGATTTTGTACCAACGAAAAATAATTGGATGTTGTTCTATATATGTTTTCTTATATTTCATTTTATGGATTAAATATTTATATAGCAGCTATTTAAATTTTATCTGTTTTATGCTATTTAGTAATTTTTATATTGTTTATGTTGTGCTTCGTTACTTGAATGTAATTATAGGTATCGGAAGAATTTTTTTTTTTAAAGCTATTAATAACTAAAACATATACAAGTAATACATTTTCTAAAAGATATACAAATATGTTATCATATTATACAAACATTATAATAATATGCCTTTAAAAAATTGTACTTTGAGGTACTTAAAATAAAAAAATGTCATTATTTTCTTTATTCTTGGTCACTTTAAGGTCACGGTCAGCGAGTATAACATATCATTAAAAAATAGCCAGTATTATTCCCCACTCAGTCTTCTTTCAACAAATATATACTTTATGGGGTCTAGCTATAGCATTAGCATGTGAAAAAATCACCTTTTTCAAAGGCACCCAAAAAGCTCAAAATTGTCAGCGCAGTACAGAAACATAACATACACTCTTGGTGGGTTAATAACTATTGGTGAAAATAAAAAACTGTAAATGTTAAAAAAAATGGACAAATTCATAATGCAAATCTAATATTAATAATAGCCTTAATTACTGATACATCTGAAAACCTCCTGCAGGCTAGTACAGTGCTGAATATCCCCAGAGAATACCACCGTTTCATACTAGGCAAAAATGGCAAGAAGCTGCAGGAAATCGAACTGGCAACTGCGACTAAGATCTACCTCCCACGCTCTGATGATAAATCTAATCCCAATGAAATCAAAATTGTTGGGGCAAAGGAGGGAATTGACAAGGCACGGCATGAAATTGAGGCAATCCATGAAGAGCAAGTAAGTATATTAGGGAAATCGTGAACAAACAGGTGGAAAGCCCACAAGTAAAAGCTTGGGAATCAACCAGAATTGTTAGGTTTGTAGGGTAAGATCTCATTAATGTTGACACCTCCATTAGCAGCTTGTGATAAGGGGACAAGTTTTAATGTTCTTGAAATAAGTATATCACAATAGTTGTTACCATTTTGTTTGGGAGCCCACTGGTAGTTTTAATTATGCACTCAGTTGTCAACAAGTAGATGTATTAGAAGTGGCTTGATTTGAACAGGGACTAACTGCCCTATCAAATAGAGCGAGATTATGCAGCATGAATGGTTAAATAATACCTGACACTTGAATTTAGACTTCAGGTTGCCATGGGAGAATTTACTTGAGATTCCTATAGAAATTCTTTAGTGTTATATTAAGTTTTTCAATTTGAGCTTTTCTTCTTTGTATGACTAATCCTAGTTATCCGTTTGGAAAAAGAAAAAATAAACCTTAGGGTTTGTATGTAACATCTTATCTCTATTTTTTTGTCAAGGCCAAATTAGCTTTTGAAAGACTTCCTATCCCCAAAGTTTTTCATCCCTTTGTGTGTGGGCCAAACAAGGAGAACATCATCCGATTGACTGAAGAGACGGGTGCTAAGATCAGTGTACCACCTCATAAAGATGAAATTGTGGTGTCTGGGGAAAAAGATGGAGTTTTGAAATGCAAGCAAGTTATGATGGCGATCTATGAGGAGAAGGTACATCAGTGATAATTAAGTTCTAGAAAATATACATGTTTCTATTTGAAAGAATAGCGTTGAAATATTTCTATCCATTACTTAATTTATGTTTACAGAAGAGAAAGTGTCAGACTGTATCTGTTGAAGTCAAGAAATCCCAGCACAAATATGTTGTTGGACCTCGCTATGCCCACATTCAAGAAATTCTTGCAAACACTGGAGTATCTGTGGAAGTTCCAGACCTGAATTCACCCTCAGAGACCATAACTTTGAGAGGAGAGCAGGAAAAATTGGGTCAGGCTCTTACAGAGGTTTACAGCAAGGTAAACTCTTCCAGACAATCTTTCATGTAATGCCCTGGCAGCAAACAACGCTGAAAAAAAAAATCAGCATAAGATAGTGTAAACTTAAAAAAAATTTTAAGGTCCACAATTTTTTTTATTCAAAAAATTATCTTGTAAGCCCTGAATATTAGGGGTGTGCCGGACCCCGGAATCCGGTTCCGCCGGATTTTGCACTATCCGGTGAAATCCGGTTCCGCCGGATTTACATGTATCCGGAACAACCGGATTCCGGAATCCGGAATATACCGGATTTCGGAATTTGCCAGATTTTTGTGACTCACCGGATCATAATCTGAAATAAAAGTAATTCTCTTTCCCGAATTCCACACGATCACGATACATTAATCGATTTTTTCGAGCGTTGAGCTTGTTTAATGTTTAATATTCCGTACATACCAGAGGCTAGAGTCAGCACCGCTAATAGTGGCCAATAGTGTAGGGACTTTGATAAGAAAATTTAAACTTTTTGTAAAAATAAACCAATGGCATAGTTGAAAAGATGTAATTTTTTAAAGAATTATAACACCAAAATCATATTTTTAGCTGTTGTAGTTTTAAAGTTATGAATTTTTAAAGTACGACTTGGTTTGTCATTTTTTAACATGGACTGCATCTCCACATTCTGTGATCTCATTCCGCCAATCCCGTCATGCGCAATGACTATATAGTTTATATAAGGCAACGCATTCCCTGCCTTATCACTAAAATACTGTTTAGACTTAGTTTAAACTTTCAACTTTGGCACATGAATAATTAATTAAAGCTTTCCCTGACCAATGGTTTAATAGTTTTTGCACACGGCAAACTCTTATGAATGAAACTCTGAGGTAGTACTACGATACAGTTATGCAAGTGGCTGTGAATGGTTGCCAATGACAACGTGTTGCACACGGTAAATTCTGATCATTTATAATATGGATTCTACCGGGTTGTTAAAGCTCAAATTAAAACATTCCAGTTTAAATGTCTTTAAATGCATTCTGAAACACAAGTTATCAATTATTTTGATGTAAATAGTGATAATAAATTAATATTTCCTAAGTATCGTCAACTTCCGCCATTAAAAAGGGGGGCGTGGCCAACCCCATGGCGAAATTAGGTTGAGCGAGCTGCATGACCTGCTGCGAACGCGTAGAAACATGGCGTCTCTCGTAAGACACTTATCCAAATGGAACGGAACTCAAATATATATCGAAAGTACTAATTTAATAATAAATAGACACACACATCGGAAAATTAAAAACTCGGATTTTTTGGCGCCGATTGCGAATTCCCATACACAAAAAGTAGTAGTCCACCTTGACTTACCGAAGTATCTACCAATAGTACCAAAATCAGGGAGAAACCGGAATCCGGATTATTCCGGAATCCGGATTATTCCGGAATCTGGATCCGGCGGATTTCGCATAAGAAAATCCGGATCCGGTTGGACAAAACGGATCCGGCACACCCCTACTGAATATATTAAGAAATTTATCAATGGTGAAGTGGAAATCGCAAGGGGTGAGGAAGCATCCTATCTTCCATAGAAACAAGAACAATATGTTAAAAGTAAAGCAGCAATTTCTAAACATCATCTAGTGTATATCATATGAGGATTTCTCCTCCTGCAAATTTATATTGTTTTGTAGTGTTACTAATTCATCTTATTATTTCCCTCTAAATGAATACTCATTCCATAAAATTAGATTCGTAAATTATATTTTGTTTTTTTAATCCTAAACGATCCATAATTTGTAAAATGTTCTGTGAAAAATGTCTTGCTATTTATTTTGTCCAGGCAAATAGTGTTGTTTTCTCTGATGTGATTGCACCAGCATGGCTTCACAGATTCATCATTGGAAAGAAGGGTAGCAATATCAAAGAGATCACAGAAAATTTCCAGAGTGTAAGTTTTACATTTCTAAAAATTTTACTTATAAATTTAAAATTAAACATAAAAGTCACTTTATTCAAATTAGTAGTTAAATCTATTAATTGCTTAAATCTATTAAGTGCTCAGTACCTTAACTTAAAGAAAAGCATATGTTTGCATTTGTATAGCTAAATATCTTCAATTGAGAATCTATGTTGGCATTTGTCTGGATGTTAAACCAATCAGTCTTTGTTTACTTGATAGGTTCACATTGAGTTTACTGAGGGTCAGGACAAAATTACTATTGAAGGACCCCCTGAAGAGGTCAATAAAGCTGTGGAGAAGCTGAATGCTTTTGTGAAAGATTTGGTAATTTTTTTTAATATCCTTTTTTTTTAAGTAGGACAGTTACTGTAAGGTTAGAAAGAATTTATTTTTTTTATTTAAAAAATGTATTGTGCCTAAAAATGAAAGAAATGAGATTGTTAGAATTGGCTTCATTTATGTGCTCTAGTTGACAAGTCTGTGGTGACTTGTCGATTAGGAGGCATCGGCCACTGACCCCCCCCCCTCGGCGTTACCCGGGGTACAAAACTACTGGGCGCGTCCTGGGTGGGCAGACAAGGGATCTGCTCGGTACCTGCCCTACATAAAACAGCTCCTACAGGGCTGCCAGTTGTGATATTACCCAACTGGAAAAAATAGGCAGAGACAGGGTAGGGATCATGATTACAAGTTGCCGTTTATGGATATGAGGCGAAGGTGGTAACCTCTGGCCGATGATTCTTACTATGCAGCCCTGAGAAGCTGCTCCAAGGCAACCGTTTCGTCCCAGCTGCATCGCGAATTAGTTGCGTTGTGGAAACCCACTGTAGAATCCCTCTTATAGGGCGTCTAACGCTTCCCGGGATGGGTGGGGAAGATATTAGGACGTACGTTTTTTCATCCCAACTCCTGAGAAAGTCGATCGTGTGCAAACACAGTGTCGGACCGACCGGGTGTCTTTGGGTTACGACGACCCCCCGGCGGAGACCTGGTCGAGCAGACGGGTGGGGGCTGTCCTGACAAAGGGACATCCCGGACATGCCGCTCCGCTGCCCGATACCGGGTTGGAGAGGGGTGTTTTGGGGAGGGCATAAAGAGTGCAAGCTCGACGGTCCGCTGACACCATTTCTTAATGTAATATATATGTGCTTTTATTATGCCATAGTGGTCTTTATTATTATTTCAGGTCAAGCGCATGGATTTTGCTGAAATTACAGTAGATCAAAAATTCCATAAACATATTATTGGGAAAAGTGGAGCAAACAGTAAGTTTTTTCTGTGAAAACTGTAAAACAAATAATAAAAAAAATATTTTTAAAAGTTCTGAATTTCTTTTTTATTTATAATGGATAGATATCTAATTTAAAAATTACACTGTTTAAATTGTACATAAGATTTTAAAAAATAAAGCATTACAAATTTTTCTTTTCTAATAGTTAGTAAAATTAAGCAAGAAACTGGTGTGGCCATAAGAATACCACCCGATGGTGAAAACAGTAACATTATTAGAATAGAGGGAGAGCCACAAGGAGTCAAAATTGCAAAGGAACAGCTTCTTGAGATGGCGAATAGGATGGTAAGTTGGCATTCCAGTCTGCATCATTTCTTGAACAGAATTACATTTATGTACTGCTTTACTGTACCTGTTTCTGTTTTTTATTGTAATCATAAAGAACATCTTTGTTTTTAATTGTAATAATTATCTGAATCTAAAGTTAGCAAGCTAGACAGCTGTGGTGGTTATTCATTGTGACTATTGGATGTTATAGTCAAGTGTTATGTATTTATGGGTAACTGCGTTCAAGCATTGTGAAGTAAATAAGGAGTGAAACAAGATATGATTAGGTTTGAAAAAAAGACAGCTCAATTAATGGGACGTTTCTGCTAAATACAAAACAGACTGGGAGAACCACTTTGTGATCTTTGAACACTTCTAGTTTTTAATTTCAAAATATTTATTTTTGTATGCTGAAGAGCATTTTTAGGCATTTAGCCGAAACATCCTTTTAATTGCTATGTTGTTGTTGTTTTTTTTGTCAAGCCTAAACATATCTTGTTCCACTATATTTGTGTCTTTAAAGTATAATCATTTCACCCCCCAAAAAAATAAATCAACTTAAAATTGGAAGAATAGTCATTATCAAACTTTGTTTTGCAGGAAAATGAGAAAACCAGAGATATTATAATAGAGCACAGATTCCATCGACAAATTATTGGTGCTAAAGGAGAGAACATTAGAGATATTAGGGAAAAATTCAATCAAGTTCAGATAACCTTTCCAGACCAGGGTAAAAAGAGCGATGTTGTAACATTACGTGGACCAAAGAATGATGTTGACAAGGCTTACAAACATTTGCAGAATCTTGTAAAAGATTTAGTAAGTTCATCTGATATTTAAATTTAGATGGTTATTTTGATGTTTTTTATGCTTAAAAATGAAGGTAAATCTCAAAACAACTGTTGGATTACTATGGAGACTTAATTTGATTGAAACATGAGTTTCAAGCCATTGAAACATGAGTTTCAAGCCAGAATATGTAGTTAAGAAGAAAAGGTAAATAAATACAATTCATGCTTGACTGAAAGAAATCTCTTAATCACTTTAAACTTTTCTTCTTTTAGATTGAGAACAACTACCAGGCACAAGTCCACATATTTAAGGACTTTCATAAAAACATTATTGGCAAAGGCGGAAATACAATAAAGAAGGTAACTAATATTTGTTTTTTTAAAAACTGAGAAGACAATAATACACAACGAAGAAAAAAAAAATATTACTATTTATAAAGAAAGTTTTAAAAAAAACGTTTGCATTTTTTGAAACTCAAAACCTGAAGTAAAGTCCCTGATTCATGTAGGTTTGTTTTATTATAAGCCCATGGTGGGGGTGGCCATTGTTCAATCAGATTCTTGCATTGATAGATTTCATTACAATCACCAGATTCGTGAAGAGACAGACACCAAGATTGACCTACCTAGTGAGATTAGTGACAGTGATGTGATCACAATCACTGGTAAGAAAGCCAATGTGGAGAAGGCTCAGGCAAAAATTGAAGCCATTCAAAAAGAGATGGTGAGGAGCTTTTTTAGTTTGTTTTAAAAATGATAATAATAATAATAAAGTTCATTTCAAAAACACGCTTCATCCCCAAAGGCTCGAAGCGCGGTACAAAGTCAAAAAAAAAAAAAAAAAATCTATAGTTTACCACATTTAAAACAAACGCAACACGACAAAAACTAAGTACAAGCATACAATGGCAAAGTCTTTCTAGCCATTTCAACCATAAGCAACACAGCCATTATGCATTGATGGCATTGTGGCTTTTTTATTTTGATAACTTATAAACTAATTTTATTTTGAAAACTTTCCTTTAATTATGTAATAAAACTATTTTAAAGTAATTGTCAGTATGTGATTTCAATGCTAAGCTCGTAATAATTTTATGAATTTTTTAAAACATAAGATTAGTTCAGATATTCTATAAAACTTTTATTTAAATTTTAGTGCCACCAGTAGAGATGTCGAATGAACTTGAACATTTTATTCAACATTTTGTTGAACATTTCAGGGCAACATTAAGGAGTTAACTATTGACATCCCAAATAAGCTGCACAACTCCCTGATTGGCTCAAAGGGCAGATTTATTAGATCCATTATGGAGGAGTGTGGTGGTGTTATGATTCGTTTCCCACAAGAGGGAACAAAGAGTGACAAAGTTACGATCAGAGGCCCTAGCGCTGATGTTGAGAATGCCAAACAGCAGTTGCTGGAATTGGCCAATGAAAGGGTCAGTTGTATTTATTTGTGTTATATGATTCCTTCAAATTAATTTAATATTTAGGTTAGATTCATATTTTATAGAAGAAATGAAATGTGACATATACTCTGGAATTCGGGTAATGTTTTAAACCTGAAAAGATTTTTATTTTATTTTGTTAGAATCAGAAACAGTACATTATTTTATATATATTCCACTAGGTAACATTCTGATTATATTATTGTTATCAAAAAATAAATTAATAAAAACAACCAATGTTTCTTATGCAATATATTAATTTAATATATTTCCCTTAACAGAAAGATTCTGGTTTCACACTGGAAGTCAAAGCCAAGCCACAGTACCATAAGTTCCTCATTGGTAGAGGGGGAGCAACCATTAGAAAGGTACCCAGTGTATCACTGGCTTAATTTATTTAAATAATGATCTTAGGAAGACTGAAGGAGCTATTGACTTGTCTTAACTTCTTAGAAATTATCAGATCTACAACTTTAGAATGTGCCAAATTAACAATATTGATTTCCAAACACCTCTTAAGATGTTTCATACCCATAATCTAATTACCCCACACAGATTTAAATTATAAAGCCCGCTAAACAGCCTTGAAGTTCAAGAAGTTATATCCATAAGACTTTTTTCCTTATAAAGCAATCTTAAAAAAAGAATTTTAAAAATAGGGGCTGTGACATCAAAATGTAAATTAGCCGACCTTTTCAGTGGATTTTTTAAAAGGTGATCGGCAATCCTTGTTTAAACTTCACTCTTTATCCTCCTGATGTTGGTTATGCTTTAAAGTAAGGGGGCTTTATTTTTATGGCAGGTGAGGGAAAGCACAGGTGCTCGTATTATTTTCCCAAGTCAGCAAGACCCAGATCAAGAGACTATCTCCATCATTGGCAAGGAAGAGGGTGTGAAGCAAGCAAAGGCTGATTTAGAAAGTCTCATCAAAAGTCTGGTAAAATATTCCTTTTTTTTAATGAAATTTGTGACTATGCAGATGTACATAAATTAATGAGAAATTTAAATTTTAAATCATTCTTAACAAAACTCATTTTTTAAATTAGCTCCTCCTTTGAAAGTTTCTTTGCATCCTTTGAACAGGACAACACCATCGAGGGTGAAATCAGCGTTGATCCGAAGCACCACAGATATTTTGTTGCTCGTCGTGGTGAGGTGTTGCGACAGATTGCTGATGACTTTGGGGGTGTGATAGTTAGTTTCCCCCGAAGTGGTGTGAGCAGTGACAAGGTTGTGATCAAAGGTCCTAAAGACTGCGTAGAAGCAGCCAAGAAGAAGATTCTGGAGATTGTAGATGATTTGGTAAGTAATGGTAACAGATAGTAAATTATCCATCAGATTGGGGATAAGGCTTACTGATAGTTAATATTGTGACAGTAGAAAAATTTTAAAATATTTATAATATATAATAATATTTATAATTGTTTTAATAGTTTTAATAAATATATTTACATTTGTATTCCTTGACTTTCTGGTATTTCAAAGACTTTATTTGGGTTAGCCTCTATCTTCTTTAAAATATAGAAAATTTTTACAAAGGTGTGAACATGAGTGTTGTATTTAGCTGGAATGAACCTTAAAAAATGCATAAAATTTTTGGGCTTTAACCATATCCACGGCATGGCATTTTCTGTAGTGTCAAGTGATTTTTAGCATTAACATATGCTTGTCAGATATGACAAAATTCCAAACTAAATGAATTTAGAGACCCAACAATACATTTTCTGAAAGTACATTGGATAAGGTATCTTATGGTACGAAAAGAATTTGTTTTTTTATGTTATGTATGTTTATTTTGATTTTGACCTTTACAGAGTGAGTAAAATTTTACAACTCGGCATCTCAATTAAACCTAACCTAATACTCTATAAATTGTTCAAACTGTCATAAAATCATGTTTTTGAGATACTAGAAACCATATTCTTTCAGAAAATGTCAAGCTATAGTTATCGTGATTGATAATTTTAATATTGGTTAATTTTTAAAAATTCCAGTACCTTCAAATTTCTGACATACAAAATACAAGGGGGAAGGCACAAAATATCAGACATAATGATGGTCAAACACTGATTAAGCACAATAAAACCTGATAAAAGCTTGTTAATGGACAAATGTAAATTGGATGTAAACTCATTATATAGAGTTATTTCGCCATAACCAAAATACATTAAATAATTTGCATTTTTAAAGACGATTTTGTTAGCTGATGCTTGTATCAACCGTGACATCACAAGAAGGGGTTTAACAACCCATCGTCGGCCGTTATGATAGTTTAAAAAATGTTACACATTTCGAATGTGCCAATGAGAGTTTTGTTTGTCTTTTTAAACAGGATGCTCAAGTTACAGTTGAATGTGTGATACCACAATCAGATCACAGGACAGTAATGGGTAGTGGTGGTAATAATGTGCGTGAAGTCACCAAGCAGTATGACGTGGGCATCAAATTCCCAGACAAACCTCCAGTGGCCAATGGAAGTAAGATTTAGTGCAGAAAATATTGAATAATGCTCATTTGACCAATATGTTATCCTTATCATTGCTACTCTTGTTGAAATCTTCTACTTAATTACTTACTTATGCCTTATACCTCATCTGGGACATGGGCTGTATACAAGAATTTTCTATTCATCTTGGTCCTTTGCCTTCTTTCCAGCTGCTTCCAGCTGTATCCCATACTTTGTGTGTCTATCTCACATCTCCATTCTTTGAAAGGAGAGTTCTCAGCTTTGAGGCTTCCAGTATAACTTGGCTTTGGCTGCAGTGCTTCATAACTCTTCTTGGGGAAGAAGAGCCCTCTCTTATCAGGGCTGAATTTTTTTTGGTTTTTACTACTTGGCGTTTCTTTAGCAGTTTGTTTTTCATGGTTGAGGTAGCTGGCCTCACACCAACCCACCTCATTTTGCACCCAGGCATGGGACCAGTCATAGTGGAGTTGAATTCTTCTACATTCGCTTTTATTACATATTTTCTATGAGCTGTGTTGCATTTCAAGCAGTGGTTCTCAATCTTTCTAACGCTGCGACCCTTTAATATATTTCCTCACATTGTGGCGACCCCCCCCCCCCCAAAACAAAATTATTTTCATTGATACTTTATAACTGTGGAGTATGTGTTTTTTTTCAGATGGCATTAGTCGACCCCTGTGAAAGGGTCGTGCGACCCCACAGGTTGAGAACCCGCTGATTTAAACCATCTTATATTTTCTCACTGTTAACAATTATTGACAATTAATAAGATTAATGAATGTATATCACTATATTGATACCTTGATATTAAAATAATTTAGAATGTACTTCATGACTCATTATCTGCAGATTCTCCTGATGAGCCATTGCCATTGGTAAATGGAGATGCAAGTTCAGAAGAAAGCACTAATGGACCCCGCAAGGGCGACATAATTATCATTACAGGCAAACCTGAAAATTGTGAAAATGCCAGGAAAGCCCTACTGGTAAGATTTAAGTTAAGGTTTATTTTCTTTTGTTCTTGGCTTTATTTGATTTCTCTGAACTCTTACATGGGAACAAGTATCTTTCAAATGCCATTTCCTTAACGTGAGTAATACAACAATTAAGACTTACCAAAAATTGTAATTAATGAGGGTCATAAATCTGTTGTTGCTGATAACTGACCTTACTTTCACAATTTGTTAAATTTCTATGGTGTTAAAGGACAGGTGTTCTTTCATCCTAATTTTGCTTGCTCACATAGCTAAACAATATTCACAGGATCTTGTGCCCATCGTTGATGAGGTCAATGTCCCGTACGAGCTTCACAAGTTCATCATTGGGCAGAGGGGTAAGGATGTGCGCAAACTTATGCAGGATTTTGATGTGAACATCTCCATCCCTGCAGCTGAAGAGCACAGCGATGCAGTGAAGATTCGTGGTCCTCCAGCCAATGTCAGGAGAGCCAGAGAAGCCATCTTGGACAGAGTGAACCAATTGGAACAAGAGAGGGAAGATAGGGTATGAGTAAACGCTTGCATTTGAACCATCCCAAGTTTTATAAGAGATGCCTCATTGATTTCCTCTGTCCGTACTGTAATGAGTTGACTTGAATAAAAGGGATGGAGTTGTTTCTTTTTTCAATAACTCTGTCCAAAAAATTAGGTTTTTGATTTGACTTTATTTCAACAGTTCCAAAATATTTTATATATATAATTTTTTTAGAACATGAAATTTTAGTAAAGTTATTTTTATTTATTTATTTTTGTTCTTTTCTCATGAAAAGTTTGACTTCTCAGTTACTGAAATAAATTTTGTTATAACTTCTCATTTGACGGTTAAATTTCTTCTGATTTTAACATTAAACTAGTTGAGTTTGTTTGTGAAACATTTATTTTCTTTTTTTTTTAAATTTGTTGACAATTTACAAATTTCCTATGCACCCAAATAATTTATATAAATATGCTGATTATGGTAAGACAGTCCATTATTTTAGTGAAGTTAAATATGCTGATTGTGGTAAGGCAGTCTATTCTTTTTGTGATAGCTAATTATGCTGATTTTGGTAAGACAGTCAAATCATTTAGTGTAATTTTATGACTAATTTTATCTCATGTCATCTACAGGAACTGAAAAGCTTCAGGCTCACATTAGAGGTGGATGAAAAATACCACCCAAAGATCATTGGACGCAAAGGGAATGTTATCTCTGTCATCCGCAAGAATCATGATGTAAACATTCAATTTCCAGACAAAGGCAGCGAAAACCCCAGTCTTATCTCAATCACAGGCTACCAACAGAATGCAGAGGCGGCCAGGGAAGATATTCTGAAGATTGTTAAGGACATTGTGAGTTCTACATTAATTGGGCTGCATCTGAATTCATTCATTGCCTTCTGAGTTCTTTTCTTTAATAACTTAAATTCCTATGCATGAAGTATTAAGTTCAAAGCCATCGAAAGAGAATGCTTTTAAACATTTCCATTTAGACAAAGCTGTTTTCATTTATAGAATTAACAAACACTTTCATTACTCAAATTAATTTGCTTTGGAAATTTGAAAGTAGTTTTTTTTTGTTGTTTTTTTAAAAAGTTTGTACAATTTTATTTTACAATGGGAGTAAAATAAGAATTAACCAAAAAAAATAAATTTGATCAAAATAATGATATTTTTTGGAAATGAGTGAAACGTTTTGTTGCATCCTATTTTCAGGTTTTCCCATACTTTTTTCGCTCATTCCCTTTTACCTAACCTGATTGCTTATTGTTTTTTGGACCCAAACAATTTGAATAAATAGCTCAATGTAATTGTATGTTGTCAATGTAAGTACATAATTTTTTCATTTCAATCACATCCGTTATGTTCCAATTATTTTTAGGAGGACATGTATGTGGAAGAAGTAAAAATTGATGCTCGTGTTCATCCCCGTATCATTGGTGCTCGTGGCAGGGGTATTAATAAATTGATGGAAGATTTCAATGTGGAGTTACGCTTCCCAAGACCCAGTGACCCTGACCCAAGCATTGTGACTATAACTGGTGCTGAGGATAATGTCCTTGACTGCAAGGACTATTTGCTCAATATGGAAGAAGAGTTTGTAAGTTCATTTTAACCTCATTTTTAAATCCTTAATGTTAACTTTGCTTTAATCAGTGTTTGTGTGGGGAAAATCTTTGAATTGCTAATTGACCCACTTCCCATCATCCTGCTGATGACATCACATTCTAACAAATTTTCAGCCCCAACCCCCAGAAATATAGTTTTTCCTATTTTCCAAGGGGAAGATGAATGAAATATTTGTTCAAAGGGTTCCTGCTTTGATTTGGAAATAAATGGTAAAGCTGTTGCTATGTGCTTTGTATTTGTGAGGTATTTGGGTTTAAATATATCTTTGGTCTATTAGGTTTTACATGCACCAAGTTTCATAAAAACCATTCCCATACCAAAAATAAGTTGCTAAAATCACATAAATGATATATCGCATGCAATACATAAATGCTGACAAAAATGGATGTAAAGGATTCATACAAAAAACTTTGTTTTCATGGGCTGTTCAAGTAAACAAAAGTACACAACATATCCTTTAATTTGATAGGTTAGTCTGCTTTCTTCTGTTGCCTGTGTGTAAAATGCATTTGTTTATTTTGCTGCAGCTCCAGGACTTTGTTGACCAAGAATATATCCGTGATTTGACAAGACCACCCAGTAAAAGTTCTACAGAACCATCTGCACCAAGGGAGCCTACTCCAGGTTTTGTGGTGAAGGATGCCCCATGGGACCGCGCCCCTGATACAGCCAGCCAGGAGGAGTTCCCCAGTTTTGGAGCGGTGGTAGCTCCCAAGGGACGTTCATGGGGCCCCATTAGGAAGTAAAAGCTGGTCCATGGCCACACAAACCTATGGGGTTCTAGATGACTGAGAGAGCTTATAAAAGTTCTTTTTTTTTAAAAATTGTCCATGCTTTCCTTAGTCCCCCCACCCCCTCCTACGTACTGTCCTCCATCTCTTCTTTTTTTTCCTTTCTTAACACCATTTTGAAATGCTTCAAGAAATTTGATGCTCTTTCTGTTCACACATTCATGGAGGGAAAATCTGCTCACTGTTGACCAAAACATCATGGGCTTTAATATTGCCAGTGGATGTATAACATTAAGAGCAGATAAAACAAATGTTTTGTTGTTGTTATTGTTTTTCAAATAAAAGCACAGGGATGAAATATTTTAACCAGTTTATGTAAACAAAAAAAAAATAATAATTGTGTTTATGATGGCCTGATATGCATATATCAATTTGATTGTTATATTATAGCTATGATTTAAACAAATTACAGAGGAGCCCTTTTGCTTCATCAGTTATTTAGCTTTTTGTGAGAGAGATATTTTGCAGAGGTAAAGTTGATGTTAGTTGCTCTTTCTTTTGTCAACCCTCCCTTTGATAACCAGTTGAGGTTAGATTTTGAAGCATGTTGTCTGGGTTGAAAACTGTTAAGCAATAGTCCTGTCGGTTGATTGGTAGATAGGGGTCTGAAAGAAATCACTAGATTCAATCTTAGGCTGCTGGTTATCTTATCCAGGTCAGTACTTATTTAGTGAGTGTCAGGCAGAGTTTAATTAATGCAGTGACCGGGTTTAATTCCTGGCTATGTGCTCAGGGTGTTAGTGAGGCTCTAGGAGCCCAGGTCTTTAAGAGGTTTCCATAATCATAGTCTGCTTTTCCCAGCTATATAAATAAATACATAACTTTGGGGCCTTTAGTTGATTTTGCCCAGGGTCCACTGGGTACATAGCATCCTGGTGCTCTCTTTCAGCTCACATTGTAATATGAGGCTTTCAATTTGACCAATATTATTTCATCACAGAGATGCTTAGAGCTTCCAGCAAAAAAAAAAAGGAATCCTATTTATTCTGAAACACCCCCATTAATAGATTTATCAAATATTTTAAGGGAGACCCTGGCGTCTAATATTACCATTGACCTGGATAGATCACCAAGTGGCAATGGCTAGATGTATTTTACCCTTGATTTTTCTAAAGTAATGGTTCTTTTAGAATGTAAGGTTCAAACAGCCATGTTAAAACCATTCCATAACAAGTGTGAATTTTCCTGATTTTTTTTTAACATTTGAAATTTTGTTTGTGAGCATTGAGAAAACATGTCTAGCCAAATGTTGTTTTAGGTTAGAATAAGCTACTATGGTGCATAAGGGAACATATCTGAGAAGCAATTATATGATTTGTACATTAAAATAATGTAAACTTCTTTTCCAGCCCACTTCTTTGTGATAACTTTTTTTTCTTGACAAAATTCACCAGAGGAATTTTTATTTTTTTTATTGAATTTCATATATGCTGATTTACTATTGAAAAATTAATAAAAAGGTAATGCAGTCAAGCCTGAGACAAAGTGTGATTTTGAGATGTGGAAGAATCTTATCAAATGGATTAGATACATGTCACTCTAGGTTATTTATAGAGAAACATGTGGTGACTTACCTTAAAGGTAACTGAAAGGTACTTTGACAAATATTGGGACTGATCATTTCCTATGTTTTCATGGCTTTGTGTTAGTCTTGGAAATTCTAACAGAAACTTAATTCTTTAAAGATGTGGGAAAGTTTTTCATATAACGTGGATACGAAAGAGTTTCTGCAAGTAACAGTTTGAGAATCTGGCACTTTTATAACAGAATGTGCATTTGTTGTTTTGAATCAATCTTTTAATTTTTGTTCACTTTCTCTTAAAACCTCAGTATATTCATAAAATGTCTAAAAGATTTGCCATGACACATAAACACAAACATTTGATAACTTAAAAACTGTGGAGACATATTTTTTTAGTTTGACCTTCATGTTAGCAGCAGTTGATGGGTCACTTATACAACCAGTAGAAAGCCTAGAGTCATTTGAGTGTGCTGGTTGGCAGAGTCTGTTCATCCGCTATAATTTCTATTATTTCAGAAAATAAGAAATGCATTTCATTATTCTTCTTGTTTGTATGCAAATTGCCATTCGCAAAGAAATTCCACTGGTCTCAAATGGGATGCATGCTTAAACCAATCCAGCTAGTCACCGCCAATCAATATGACTATAGGCTTTTTTGTGTACTTCGTATTTTATCTGTCCTAAGTCATGTGTTGTACATAAATCAATTTTAACTAATCATTCATTACATTTGTCTCTTGCAATAAGAAAGTTTTGTTTCACAATGATTATAATGCTCATGAAGTTTTCTTTTTAAATTCAAACAAATATGCAATGTACATTTCCACCAATGCGTTTGGTCCCCATAGTCGACCCTTGCCTATCATACCATAACCTCTATCACTTTCCCCTTTCAGCTCAGTTAATTCTCTCTAGTCCCACCATCTATCACACCAAAACTGATTTTTTAAAATTATATTATTATTATTAAAATATGCGGCTCAAGCTATTGGATTAAATCATTATTTTTTTTAAGCTAACAGAGGTTATTTTCATGTGATGAAGAGACTCCGTAAAAAGATTTCATATTTGAAAAGCACCCCAATTATTAGCTCTTTGACTGCTTAAGGAAAGTGGATACCCACTCTAACCACTACAAGAGCAGACACAACTTGGTGCTCTTTCTACTGAAGCAGCCTCTAGGTTTGAATTATATTTAACTTCACGATTTGGGCTCTGAATGCTTAAACATGAGATGCAGGCTTTGAATCTCTCCGCTCTAGTAGTCACCATTTTATCTTCACAAACTTGAAGCTCAGTAATACCACAAGAAACACACCTGTCATGCCAGTGTTATCTCAGCCTGGGGTGTCGTCTTTGTCTTTCTCATGTGTCTCTTCCATTTCAAATGCGATAATCCATTTGAATTGATTCCTACTGCATTTTACTTTTTTTTTTCATCTATTGATTTTATGTTTGTTACTACTACTACTACTACTACTACTGCCCCATAGCACTTATCTATTTTATGAATATACAATTCTATTTAAGTCGATGGTTCGCAAACTACGGTATACATTTTACGACAAAGGTGACAATACTTTTAATACAGGCATGGACTGATAATACATTCATCCTGCAAAGCAAAAGTGGTGATGGTAGAACATCCTTCATTAATTCATTAATATTTGTCAGTGTCATAAAATGGATTATTAATCAATTCATTAGTTCAAAAACCACTGATTCAGAGGAAAAAATTAGGGGGATAAATTTTCCTGCTCATTCCAGTTAAAGGTCACTCTAATTTTGTTTCAGTGTTGTCACAGATTGCCATACCTCATCTCTCGCTCCATACAGGAATGCACACGACTTGTTACCGTTCAGATGAACTTTTTTTTCTTGATAAAAAGTTATATTTAAGTCTTTTTTTGACAGGCTTATTTTTTTTTTAAAAAGCATTTATCTTCTATTTGGAGTAACAGCAGCGAGTGACAAGAATGTGAAGCAATTAAAAAAACAAATTTATATGTCATGTTATATTTTCAGATAATTATATTTTATTTATAGAAAGTTTTTAAACATTGAAAAAGAATGAGTTGACCCACTTACTGTTTGGGTTCCTTCATTAGTTTTTTTAAAATATATATGAGATATATTTATATGTTCACTAGGACAGATTTGGGGGCTTTGTAATTGAATAATTGCCTTATTTGAAAACCGTTTTTCCAAAATTCACTCCACAAATTTAACTTTGAATAAACTTGTCAAACATCAAAACATGCTTATATTTACTAATCACTTGGTACTGTCAAGCGCTGTTGATAAAAAAAAAAATATTATGACAATTTACATCATAAGGATGTAGGATGTTGTAGGTGGGGTTTATTGTGTATCTCAGCCAAGTGGTTAGTAGCAGAGATTGAATTTTGGGAAGACGTTTTTAAACAAATCCATGATTATGATGTTATGTGTGGTTATGAACTAGGAATCTAGCTGCAACTCGACTGGTGGAGCATTGCAAAACACCTGCTCGTAATTGAACATAATTGTCAAATAAAAAAAGAAAAAGACCAGGTACTCCAACTACCCACATTATCTGGCATCATTGTTGTGATTTTTTTCTCCATATAAGTGAAGTTTTTGTCCATATTTCAACAGGTGCCAGTATCCCATATGTCATTAACAAATTTTGAAATACTTTACATCATTTTTTTAAAAATAAATTGCACTCCCCCAAACAAATTTCAGAGTTAAAGAAGTGAAATTTGTTAAGCTTTTAACACAATCTTTCATTCTCCCATACACTGCCCCACTCCCTTTTACCTGTATTTAGATTTATTATGTAAAGATGTGGGTGATGGGGCTTAGGCGCATTAATTACAGTTTGCCTGCTTATGGTAGCTGTTAGATGATAGCATGACAGGTATGGTGGATGGGTTGGCCACAGATGTTCATGAAAAAGTTTGAAACAGAATAATGTTGCTTTTTTTCCCCCCAGTGTTTTTTAAACTTCATTTTATGCATAGTTTGTTTTTTTTGCAATTATAAAATTTTCATAACATAAAAAAAAAAAAAAAAAAAAAATTTAAAAAAAAAAAAAAAAAAAAAATATTTAAAAAAAAAAAAATTATTTAGCGAGTGGGTTTAATTATGTATGTAATGAATCAGATTTTTTTTTTTTCAAGTGTGATGTGACTTAATAATGTAATTATATGATGTACATAAAAAAACAAATTTCAACAACAAAAGATTAGTTCATTAATTAAGGACTGAGTGAGATGTTTTTGTTAAAACCATGGGGCAGAATAGCATAAGTTAAGGACACATGACTTAATGACAGTGTTGTTGACGAACTGTAAGTGGAGTGAATGAATTGAGAGCTTCTAAAAATAATTTTAAAAATGTCAACCCTGTTATTGGATGGTCCACTAAAATTTTAATGCTGATGTATATGATTTTCATTGGCAAAAACACAGAAATAAATGTAATTATAAAATGTGACAAACCTCTTTTGTGCTTTTTAAAAAAAAATTGATTAAATGTTCTGCAACTGTGAGGTGGCAAACTCAAATAGCTCTACAGGGTCAATTCTATCATTAATTAAATTTTGACAGGCCGCATCTCAGCACGAAAAATTAAATTAACACAAAAAAATGAAAATTCATTTTCTTTATTTGGAAATAAACTTAAAAACATCTTCACATGCTGCTTAAATTGTACAGATTTGATTAAGATACAAATATAGCTTTTTATCTGTACGTTTATAAGAATAATGGAAAGCACAAATCAAAGAAATTTCAACATCAACCCCAAAAAATTGTGACACACCACATGCGGCACGGATCAGCAATCCCGGCTGTACATAATTGTGATGTTCTACAATTTGTGCACATGAGCGATATGGCCAATATTGAGAGTTGAGACTCATCATCATCATCGCCTGTCGTCCCGTCTGGGGCATAGGCCACAAACAAAGGCTCTCCAGGCATCCCGGTCTTGGGCAAGTCTCTCCAACTGTCCCCAGTTGTGCCCACTCTTTTTGATGTCTGCCTCCAGTTCCCTTCTCCAAGTTGTTTTGGGTCGACCTCTTTTTCTCTTACCCTGGGGGTTCCAAGTCAGGGCTTGTCTCGTGATACTTGATGCGGGCTTTCTGAGGGTGTGGCCAATCCATCTCCATCTGCGCTGGCAGATTAACTCTTCCACTGGTTCTTGTTGTGTGCGCCGCCAGAGATCCTCGTTGGTGATGACGGTGGGCCAGCGGATTCGTAAAATCGTTCGGAGACATGAGTTGATAAAGGTCTGTAGCTTTTTTGAACCAGCTGCTGTTGTTCGCCATGTTTCTGCCCCATATAGCAAGACAGGTTTCACTGTGGTGTTGAATACCTTGACCTTGGTCTGGAGGGTCAAATTGCTGCAGCTCCAGACCTTTTTTAGCTGGTTAAATGCCGCTCTTGCCTTACCAACTCTCACTCTTATGTCGGCGTCTGTCCCTCCTTGTATGTCAATGATGCTGCCGAGGTATGTAAAGCTATCCACCTCCTCAAGGTTTGTTCCTTCCAGTGCTATAGGTGTGTTGCTTGATGTATTTATTTTAAGGACTTTGCTTTTTCCTCTGTGGATGTTCAGGCCGATGCAAGCAGAGTACTGTGCTACATAATTGGTTTTCTCTTGCATCTGTTGCTGTGTGTGTGATACTAGGGCCAGATCATCCGCAAAATCCAGGTCATCAAGTTGTTTCCATAGTGTCCACTGAATACCATTTCTCTTCTGCTCTGTAGACATTTTCATTATCCAATCAATGGTCAGCAGGAATAGGAAAGGCGAGAGCAGACACCCCTGTCTGACACCGGTCTGTACCTCAAAAGCCGCCGTTGTTTGCTGGCCGTGGACAATTCTGCACGATAGTCCTTCGTAAGAAGCCTCGAGAGTTGAGACTAGGCTTCTACTAAGTCGGATACTTTGTGCAGGGTATCTTTCAATTAAGAGTTCCCATTTACAAAGTCCAGCTCAAAGATCTGCTTACATAGCCGAAAGTTCCCAGGAACTGCTTGCTTCTGAGAGCGATGAAGGGAACTTTGTCACAGTGATATTCCAGTCACACTGGCTAGAGGTAAATTAGAAGGTGCCTGCTGTTTGTCCCCTCGGGGATGACAGATTTGGCGGCAGCAAATGCCTTCTGCAAGTCCAAAATTTGGGCCTCATACCCGCCTTTAAGCATGCAATGGACTTGAAACCTAATGATCTACAGATTTGTTGTTTAAAGCCACTTGAAATGCCCATGAATTCATTTATACCCAAGGTTTGCGTCATATTTGAAATGTGACTGACAACAATTATACATTAAAACAAAATTTAGGATAACAAAACGAAAATTTTAACAAAAGATCAAACTTTATTTATTTAAGATATGTTTATAATCTGTAAAGAAACCAAGGAATGTTGTAAAAAGAAAGACATTAAGGTTTTAAGTATAATCATAAGTAGCTATAGACACCATCATCAGACATGCGCTGTAAGGTACTTCTAGACCAAAGACCACTTATAAAGCTTTGAAAAATTAAGTTTCGTTGCAAAAAATTTAGAATAATGCTAATTACCATTTCAGTTTTAGACCATTTGTTTAAACTGGGGAGGATTATCACTTATGTTGCCATCATCATGCATGCAAATGATAAATTGTTCAAGGAAGTTTGAATGCATCACCATTTCCTACTCTGCGTGCATCCCCACTCTCCCACCAAACAAAAAAAACCATTAAAAATCTCTTTATGTAATAATGAAAGGGTGATGGGAAATAGGCACACATCTTAAAAAAAAAATGTTTGTAGGTTGTCATGAATTCAACAAGATCTATGCAGCAAAGCTACCATAAACTTTTATATTAATTTTTTAAAACTTATTTTTGTTTTGTTGAAAATATGTAACATGCACTCATCAAACCAGGGATCCCATCAAATTTAAATGAACATTGAAGATTCACTAACATAATGTATTTGTTGAGATGTGAAAGATGGATCATGCAAATATCAGTTATAGTTATAAAAAAATTTAAACATATTTTTTTATTACATAGGCATATTTCGTATTTTGTTCTGTGTAATTCTTAAAAAATAAGTTTTTAACAATTTAGCCATTAAGCTTACATCCTCAGAACGAGGTTAGCAAATTGCATACTATTTATTTTAAAAATATATATGACATAGAGGGTGTCTTCAGCAAAAAAAAAAAATTATAAAAAAAAAAATACAAGACCTTTAAAAAAAAAAAGCAACTGATGTTCCATTGGAAACCCTGGCTACAAATCGGAAAAGCAAAAAAATAAGTTTTTAACAATTTAGCCATTAAGCTTACATCCTCAAAACGAGGTTAGCAAATTGCATACTATTTATTTTAAAAATATATATGACATAGAGGGTGTCTTAAGCAAAAAAAAAAAATTATAAAAAAAAAAATACAAGACCTTTAAAAAAAAAATGCAACTGATGTTCCATTGGAAACCCTGGCTCCAAAGAATATAAAAGGAATGTTTAAATTTATGCTTTGTTACACATGGCGTTTAAATTTATGCTTTGTTACAATTGGTGTTTAAATTTATGTTTTGTTATATTTGGCATTTAAATTCATGTTTTGTTACATTTGGCAGACAGAAACTATTTGATGTTGAGGGGGAAAAAAAACTATTTTGATTTATCAACAAACAAACAAAAACTGACAACTTGTAAAAATTTTATAAAAACATGTCTCTTCAATGAATTTAAAAAAAAGTTAATTTTCTAGCTCTATCAGGCAAGCAGAATTTTTAAAAAAAATTGTCAACATTTATATCTGAATGTCCTAGAGCAATAATGAAAAATTAACAAAATATGCTTTCAAAGAAAAATTGATTCCAAACATCAAAAATAAGGTTTATGATCAAGTGTTTATAAAAATAGTTGCAGTTGAAACACCCTTGATCATAGAACATCTGCATTTTATCAGCAAAATAATTGTTGTGCACTTTTAGAGCAGGAGTGCTGATTTTTTTAAAGGCAAGTTCTTCTTCTTCTTATATTTGAGGTGCCCACGATCAATTTGTTGATCATTCTGGCTCCTGGTTTAAATTCAGAGTTTGCCTTCTCTTAGATGGGTTGCCGTCCAAGGCTAGCGAGTCCCATCTACCCGGGGTGCTTGGGATGATTTGCTTTTGGTGGGGATTGAACTCCAGACCACCAGCTGTTTGGTTTGAGACCGTTTAGACCGCTCGGCCACCCAGCACCCAGTTCTGAAGTTGGGGTAGAACATTTTTGTTGCATTTAATATATATTTAAATCAAAGCATAACAAGTAAATGTTAAATGGTGTCCAGTTGTGTAACATGTTGTGCAGTTCATCTCAAATACTTAGAATGTATCTTTTTACAAACGTAGCATGACTAAGTTTTGCATCTCCATAAGAAAACAGAACATCGTTTCAAGCATAACCTGGTGTTAAGCTTGACATTCTGCACATTTCACCATTTTCAAACACATGAAATTTTGCTTTGAAAGTTTTTTGCTTTTTTTTCAAACATTCATAAATTTAAATATTTTGAAGTCATTTGCTTCAAATGTACATATCAGATCATTCATTAAAACATACTTCTTTGGTACTGAATATAGCTTTACATGTAGCCTCCTTTATGTACATAAATATTAGTTTAAATGCAAAATGAATCTTTTAAAGAATGGTTCAAGGCAAAGTGTTACAATGCTGATGACACTTACCATTTTTCCGTGACATTTTAAACATTCTCACTGATCAATAGCAAACATTCTAAACAAATAATACTGTGATGGTAGTTTGGTAATACTTCAACAACTGTGGGAATAAGTCTTAAGGCAGCAAGGTAAGAGAGCTGGTCCAAAGCCAAAGGTGTAAGTCCAATTACCAAAATCAGGTTAAAGAATTTATACAACCCCACAAAATTAGCCTCAGGGCAAAGTATTGGACCCCTCACTAATGTAAAACAAATGATTTGAAGTGATTGAATTTATACAAAAAAGTATGACAAGGCAAAGGTTTTGGACCCAGCAAATGTAAGTTGATGATGTAGTTTGATAACAACCTTGTAATAAGCTCAGTAATATCTTAAGGGTATATAGAAATGAAGATGGATGGATTTAGAGTGATTAGTTTTTTAAAGTACCTGTTCATTTGAGACAATCTCATGCAACCCAGGCACCAATATTTAGTTATTTAACCATGAAAAGTTTGCATGTAGCTGCCTCATTGGGCGGTAGCTGTCAAAACCAACTTGGTTCAAATTAACCACGCACAAACAAAGTATAACCATATATTTATAATAAATTGGGCATTCCTCTTTGTGAATTAATAATATAAGGCAGACCATAGAGAATTATGTATCAATAATGAACAGGTACACATGCACAGAAAAGTTGTTTAAATAAGAAAAAAATGATCAAGTTACATATGCACAGAAAAGTTAAAATAAAAATATAATGATCAAGTTACATATGAAAAGAACATTTGCTTAACAACAAAAATAATAATAGGCACAGAAAAGATGTTTCATTAAACATAATGATCAAGTTACATATGCACAGAAAAGTTGTTTAAATAAAAATATAATGATCAAGTTACATATCCAAAGAACATTTGTTTAACAACAAAAATAAATGTGACCAATTTTTAACAATGAAATTCATAAAATGTTACAAAGTGTGTTAATAATAATAATAGTAAAAGGCTTTTTACAAAACAAATAGAACTTTGTCCTTGCAGATTATTTGTTCTGATAAAGAGAGTCGTGAATTGGAGTTTCAATATTTGTGGAAAAAAAGACCCAATGCTGGTCGATGGAGAGTTTGTATTGTATAATGCAGTAGTAGTGTATAAATTTGGAAGAGACAACACTTGACATTTGAACAAAATGAGACTTTAAATAGGGATGCTGAACAAGACTTCTTCATTCCTTAATCATTACTTACACCCGAAGGTACATTTATGCACAAAAAGAAATGACCAGTGTTAGACCATTACTAAATGCAACAAGTGATTGTAAGGATTTGAATTACATTTTTTTTTTTAAATTTATTTTTATAACAAATTTTGTAGACACTAGAAATAACCTGCTGAACAATGGCAGGCATTGCGAACTTCCCACTTACTAAAGTTACTTTACAAAACCTGAGTTCAAGTGACACACTTTACAAGAATACCATTTGTGCTAAATTCTGGGAATGTTATTTGCGCAACTATTGAACACAGCGTTGCAGCCATTGCATTAATGGCATGCATACCTAGATAAATATTGTTTGTGATTAAATACTAATATGAATTAAAAAAATATAATTTTTGTGGTCCCTCTTAAACATAGGCTCACCAAAGATACAGCTTAAAGTTGTAACTTGTCAACACGCAATTATAAGGCATTACATCAAAAAGGGTTATAAGGCTAATTCATCAACAAAAATAAGCATGGTTAGGTTTAATATGAACTTTGCCCTAATAAATATATATATATATATATACGAGAAGTATCTTTTTAATATAAATATACATTTGAACTCTTTTAAATTATTTCTTTAACTATTTACAGTGGTGTCGACAATTACACAAGGGGCTTTCAAGGCACTTTAGAATAAAAGATACAAGTCAAAAATATCCTATCAACATTGCTTAAGCCAGACCAGCTTAGAATTCATTTGTGCATAAAGTGTAATTACTTCCCCAAACCGTGCATGCATAAAGAATTATACTGAGGTTACACTACTTGGCTTTCATGTGGAACCAGAAATTAATGCTGGTTTTCCAGGATCCGAGCAAGGCTTCAGTGAATTTTCCCCGGAAATGGGCTCGGGCATCAGCTTCGGACATATGTGGGACCAAGGTTTCCCGGAGGTAGTTGACATCTTTGGGGCTGTTGAGCTGTGGTATTCCTCCGGACAGCATCATCATGAATAGAGACATCAACAGGGAGAATTTCTGGCGGAGAATCAGGAAGGCCTTCTCACACATGGTCTGGAATCTGAAATTTGTGTTTTATGTGTAATTTTGTTATTTGAAAAGTATGTTATTTATTTAATCTACCAAGATATAGATTTTTTTAATTGGGACTGCATTTTTTTTAAAAAGTAACATATACACATACAAAATGGATGGTGGCAGAGTTGCTACCACATTTAAGCTTTGAGGTGCACTGCTATTTAATGGGTGGTGTATTATACTAACTTATAATATTGATCTTTGAAAACAATGTCCTTGTGTTGATCATTTTTTTGGGATGTGAGAGAAGGGAGAGTTTGAAAGCCACTGAATTTTCGATGCATTATAAAAATTACAAACCAAAAAAAAACCTTAATTATTTTTTAATAAGTGTTTACCTTTGAAAGTTTCCTGCGTTTGTGTTGCCTTTGGTTATAACGTATACAAAATGGCTGGTCAGCACAAATGGAACTCTTTCACGTTTCACATGGAATTTTGTTTTGAAATTTCCCAAGAAATGTCCAAAGTCAATATGGAACATCTGGAACAAAAAAAATACGCTAAGAGATGATCTTTCCTCCTCTTAAGAACCTATCTACTATCTTGTAACAAAGTTAATTTTTTTTTTTGCCCCATTATTGATAAATATTTGATCAAAGATTGTTCTCTGATGATTCAAACAACAGAACCAACCCGCCCATGGAAGGAGGGAAAAAAATATATGTCCAGAGCAACATAGTTTCCTGTTTTGAAATGAACAAAAATCATGTGACTGATGCTCTCACCTGTCCTGAAGTTTTCATCATGATGTTGTCATTGTGTCTGTCACCTATCCCCAGGACATACGTGGCCACACAGTATCCTGCACAAGACAGCAGAAACTCTTCCACTGCAGCATTCAGACTGAGGAAAATACGTACTAGTTTATAACACAGCACAAAGCAAGGAAAGTTAATGATTACTACAAATATAGCAATAAACCCTCCCTCTGATTAAGAAGAAATCTGAATCAAAATTATAAAAGATAATGTTTACACTTTCCAACTAACACTAAGTGACTAAGTTAAAACACACTGGTAAATGATGTTTTCAACTCTTGTTCTCACAGAAATTTAAAAAAAAATTTTCAACATATTTTTGACAATCAAATAATTTACAAAAGTTAAAAAGATTATGCCAATTAAGAAGATTTCTATTGACAATATCTTCTAACAAATACAAGTGACACCTAAAAGAGATTTACAGAAGTTTTATAGTTATCCATCTTCTTTTCACTATATTTTTACTTAACTGATTAACTACCAGATTGAAAAACCCACTGTGGCCGAATTAAATCTAGGTCACATTTTCTAAGTTTAAGTGTATGTACAAAGTGCAGCTGCTGTTTTCTTAATTATAAACATATTCTGATAATTAATAAACCATTTTGTTTGTGATTGAATTATCTATAATATAAACTCAAAACATTTGTAAAGTTAAGTTTTGTTAGGAAATTATTAATTGTTAAATTAGTATTTTCAATAGAAAAACTATAACAAATTTATTGATGTGCCAACTTGTGTATATATTTTAAATTTCATAATCATTTAAAGCCTTTTATTTGGTGGTTTATAAATAGTATAAATAGTATATCCAATAATAAGAAAAATGCACCAAAGAACACAGAAATTGAAAAATATTTACACTTCCAATCACGAATATGCCTTTAGTAACCCTGTCACTTGTTGCCGCAGTAAATATGTACAATTTTGTAACTAGCTAGGAAATTAAATCAAAACTAATTAACTTTTAAGACATTCTGCTAAAAGCATGCGTTTCAAATATAAACACCCGGTCGGTAAATTAAAATCTCGAACGGAGTGATATAAATATTTGACTCGATTTATTACGATACTAACATTGGCGATACCAGCGGCTCGTGGCCATAACGAAAGAAACACAGAGCCGACCGCTCCCAGGGGCTAATGGTAGTTAACCAGTTGAGCGTTTTATTTCGAAAGCAAATGACAATACAAACCTATCCTCTTTAGGGTGCTTGGCTTTGAGCCACTCAAACAACGCCCTCTTATCAAACGCCGTCTTCTTGTACCACTTCTGTATGTTGGCCATGGTCTCAGCTGGAGTGACCACCTCTATCATGCCTTGTTCAAGGTCAGTGGCCATGCACATGTAAGGGTTCATTCTGTGAACAAATGGGGACACAGCAAGGTAAGCATGACCAACAACAATGATATTCTTATTTGCATGTCTGTTTCAATCCTTGCGAGTGAAAGGGGGGAAAACTAATTCCTTTAAAAACGAATTTAAAACTCTAATAAGTTCAAGTTTTGTTTAATTTTATCACAATGAAACTAAAAGATAATTGCAATAATAAATTTTTTTATTTTTATAGATACCGGGTACTTAGAAAAATAATAATAGTGGAGAAAAACATCTCCCGGATTTACCTGAAGTCCAATCCTTCTGCTTGCCAAATGTTGTCCATGACTTGTAGAATCTGTAATGTCAGCATATCCTGACGCAAATCTACCAACCAAAAAAAAATTAAATTTTAAACCTTGTGTACAGTAAGTCATACATAAAAATATTGTACTTAAAAAAAAAAAAAATAATTAAATTCTGTATAGTATTTATGGCGGAATTTTTTGTTGTTATATCTGTACAGTATTTGTGAAGGAAATTTTAACAAAATCCTACTAATTTTAGTTTAATTTTAAATTCCTTTGAAGAAATAAAGAATTAATTTCTAAATATAATGTTCATTTGTTATTAAATAGTCAATTTCAATATTCTTAGAAAAGGACCCGTGGAGTAATTAGTTTTCAAGGGAAAGACCCCTGGACTAATTAGTTTTCAAGGGATGGACCCTGGAGAAATGAGTATCCAAGGGAAGAACACCTATTTGTTATTAAATGGTCATTTCCTAGGGAAGGACCACTAGAGTAATCAAGTGTACAATGAGTAGTACCATCTCCATTTTTGTAGATAATCTGTATGTCGGGTCCCATGTGATCAGCGTTGGACCAAACTAGCCAAAGGGGGCGTTTTTTGGAATTCATAAACTTGCATTTCTCAACCCTGCAAAATAAATTTATTTAAAAAAAAAAAAAAAGTTAACTTCATTAGCTCTGAGTGCAAACAGTTATAAATGCAGTCACAGACATGCCAGAGAGGTTTTCTTCCATTTGTATATTTGTAATTTCTAACAGGAATTAAAACATTTCTCTTTCAAGTTTAAAAATAAAGCTACAAATAATAATTTTAAAAAGAATTTGATTTCATTGTCAAAATTTAAAGATTTTAACAACTTTTGAAAAGCTGTAGAGAATCACTAAATTGAACGAGACATTTCTGTGTCAAAGATTGGCTTGTATTTTTAAATTTTCCTTTGTGCTTACTTGAGGTCCTGCATTTTGTAGAGAGGTGACAAAGGGCTAAAGAGGTCAGTCAAAAATTTCTTGTAGGCTTGTTGTTTGAGAACATCTTGCATGAGAGACTTAGCCTAAGGGAAATGGATAAGAATATTAAACTGCCCCATTAATATACATAATAAAAAAATTAAACAATTAGAATTTTCTCATTACTTTGGCACATGGAGTAAGCCATAGATTAAAAATCATTTCAATTTTACCCTCCGAATTTAATAGCAGATAAATTTTGCAATTTACCTGAGAACCAAATATTTTAAAATTTTAAATCATATTCTATTTTTTTAAATTCTTTTTTTAATATAATTGGTTTTGGTATTATTTTGAATTAGGCAATGGCTACATTCTGAAATACTGAAAACGTTCTAAAATCCTGGCAAAAATCCTGAAATCTTCAGATCTCCAATTATTTTTTTTGATGACGTTTGTGGAAATTGCGAAAGTAAACTCATAAGTCAAAGGAAAATTGTTTTAGGGTATATAGAGATTTCTTTAAGGTATGTAGAGATTTCTTTAGGGTATGTAGAGATTTCCAGAAATTGGATGAAAATAGCTTGAAATGAGGAAGGTGTTGATCAAGAGGGTGCTGGGTGACATAGTGGTCTAAACTGAGTCAATTCCAAGCTAGCGTACTGGAGTTCAATCCCCGGCAAACACTAGACAAGCAAAAACATCCCCTGCACTCTAGGTGATGGGATTCATTAACCCTGGATGGCAACTCATCTAGATGAGAAGAGGCAAACTCTGAGATCAAGCCAGAAGTTGGAGTCCTGTAGGTGGCATGACATTGACATGATGAAAATTCCGACAACCCCTGGGATGTGGAATGAATAAAGAGCAGTGAGACACCCACTGCTGGTTATCTACTGCACCCTGGTCTATTCCCAGCCGTCTTGACCAATCTTGCAATAGGATAGAAAACGCAAGGACGAGAGAGTGAGGCTGACAAATTGAGCAGCCCTCCCTCACTTTAAACAAAAGGCTCCTATTCAAGTCAAAAATTGACTTGGACATCTTTGCATGAGAAGGACAAACAACATTTGATAAAGAAAACCTCAGTAACAGGGAGAACTACATCGACTAGAACAAAACCAATCATTTGGTAATATTTTACTTGACAGAGGTAAACTAATGTCAAATCAAAAGTCATCAAAAACATTCTGCAAGAACTGTCAATAGGGACGGACGGATTTAAGAAACCTGGTGATATCCAGATGTGCTGTGCCTCTAAAAAATGCGGGATGTGGCCCTCGGCAATGATGACACTAATCAAATTGGCTAATGACCAGATAATGAAGTCACTCTTACCTCATCTCCAAATTTTCCCTCTTTGATGAGAGAGTTGAGGGCAAACAGCTTCTTGAGTGCATCCTGCTGTTTCATCAAGACAAACAAGTGATCCGTGTTGTGTTTCAGGTAGATCTGTAAGATCAAGCTGTACTGTGTTGTGACAGATGGGTTGTGGTTCTCAGATCTAGGAAGGAACACAGGGGACAATGAAATTACTGGGCTTGGGACTCGGTGTGACACGCCACTGAATAAAAAAAATGTCCCCCTATTCAATGCCATTTCCCCCAACACAAGATCCACTAACAGGCTATCTATCCTACCTCAGTAACCAGAAGAGCTTGTGTCCCAGGTGCTGGTTCTTAAGTGCTCTGCTTAACAAAAACTCAGCCAGTGGACAAACCAAGTGAGTCTCAAACTTGAGGGCTTGGACCAGCTGAAGCATGTATTGGGACACATCATCATCTCTGAAATAATAAAATTAAACAAAGATTCAATGAGCCTCTAATCCAATGGTTATAATATCAGGGACTTTAACCTTGACCTCCCCTTGCTTGAACTCTTTCAGAATTAGTAAACAGAAATTGATGGTAATGCCGGGGGGTCGGGTAAATGTAGAAGATATAGCCAAACACAAAAAGCTCATTGACATCCATCCAACTTACCCCAGGTCATTGTCCAAACACCTGACGGCAAACTCTCTGACATTGTGGTCTGGGTACTCAAAGTCTAATATCTCCAGGGCATAGTCCACGGTGAGGTGCGGCCATGTTTGGAGCAATGCTGTCATCTTGGAACCAAGACAAAAAGGTTTATCAGGCTACGCAGAATGGAAGTCATTTTTATGTGGTCTTAACCACCTCTCTCTGTTTATAAAACAGTGTAGCCACGTCGTAAAGCTTTTATACCTACAATTCAGACAGGTCATCGAATTTCACAGTTTATAAGTATCAATACTTTAAGTATAAATGATCATAGCCCCTACCACCTCTTAACACCCCCTCCAATATGATGATACATGTTTTTAAAAGAGACCATACATTTTTTTTAATATTCTCTTTTCCTAAAAGATTAATAGTGGCAAACACTGTAATATAATAAAGTGACAAGTAATACATGATACGGAAATATCATCAGTGATTGATGTACACATTCTTTTTTTAAAAAAAGGCTGCCTTATCTGCTGTAAAAATTCTGCTGTGTCTTTGTTAAACCAGAGATGAGTTAAATGACGAATCACTTCATTCTGGCCCCAAATGTTATCATATATTGCAGAGCTATTACTGAAAAATAAGCCTATTAAACCTGCGTTAACTCAAAAAGTCGCCATTCACACAATGCTATCAGAAAGTCATGTGGGTCACATGTGGATTTGTTATCCCATATGGATATGACTTACTGGACATTAAAACAGTTGTTTTTAAAATTATAAGAAATGTTAAATTCTTTATAAATCCCCTTTGTTGTAGGATTGAATTTTTATTTCTATGAAGTGTTTGCTGTTGAATTGTGTTTCTTGTACACTAAGTTCTTAATATCATCATAGGAAATAATTTGTTGGTATACAAAAAAAGGTTAAAAGGTTAGACTTTCAGTGGTTGCAAGGATATGTTGAAAGTGTGACATCAAGATTTAAAAAAAATGAATGCTTTTATGCATCATTGCTTACATGTAAAGCATATTCTACAATAAATGTATTTTTAAAACAGTTAGGGAAAGATGTTTTACACACAGCACTGACACAAGTGAAAACCTTTTGATTGCGGCCAGTGAATTTTAAAGTTAGATTTATCTAGAGTAATTTTAATCTGACTCCCATTGTACCTGTTTTTACAAGGCTCTGCATGGATGGGGGAAAGGCAGGGTGCTGTACTCTTAAATGAGGAACATTATATTTTGAAATGGAAGAGAAAAAAAACAAGCCCACCTTGGCAACATCAATGTGATTATTCCATTTGACAGACTGCAGCACCTTAGCCAGGCAATTCGGGAACCTGGCCTCTACTTCGTAGCGTAACATCCAGATGAGATCTTTGTCTTGTTCAAACAGTGGGTCGGACTGGAACAGCGCCTGGGTCAGCTGCTCCACATGAGACTTGCTCACCTTCATGCTCTGAAACATTAACGGGCGATTAGCCTCAACACTGTACAGATCAGCAGAAATGTTTATGAGAAGTTAGCCATAACATTGTACAGACCAGCCTGTGGGGTGATTGTAAAAGAGTAATTAAAAATCATAGGCTAACAATGATGTGACTTTAAAAAAATTGTTTTGAAGAGTATATTTTTTGAGGTGAATGAATGAGCTAATAACCAACTTGAAGATTGCAGAAACATTCAAGCTTAGGGCCAATGTTAAAATTTAATATAAGATAGTGGTAAGTTATTGCTGGCCACACTATTAATTGAAAAATGATGGGGCAGGTTGCCACTGTACTTTAAGCGCGTAAGCTCAAGCCCCAACCAGAATATGTATGTTATGAAGTAAAAAAAAAAAAAGGTTAAGGATTGAATGTAAGAAAAACATAATAGCCCATGATAAGACTTAATAGTACAATCAAACAAGTGCACAAGACTTACTGGAGACCCAGGTGCACTGTACTGTTCCATATTTTTTGATGCACATTCCAACACCTAAACATAAAAAAAAAATATTTACAGTAGTATAATTAGGGGTGTGCCGGATCCGTTTTTTCCAACCGGATCCGGATTTTCTTATGCGAAATCCGCCGGATCCGGATTCCGGAATAATCCGGATTCCGGTTTCTCCCGGATTCCGGATTTTGGTACTATTGGTAGATACTTCGGTAAGTCAAGGTGGACTACTACTTTTTGTGTATGGGAATTCGCAATCGGCGCCAAAAAATCCGAGTTTTTAATTTTCCGATGTGTGTGTCTATTTATTATTAAATTAGTACTTTCGATATATATTTGAGTTCCGTTCCATTTGGATAAGTGTCTTACGAGAGACGCCATGTTTCTACGCGTTCGCAGCAGGTTATGCAGCTCGCTCAACCTAATTTCGCCATGGGGTTGGCCACGCCCCCCTTTTTAATGGCGGAAGTTGACGATACTTAGGAAATATTAATTTATTATCACTATTTACATCAAAATAATTGATAACTTGTGTTTCAGAATGCATTTTAAAACATTTAAACTGGAATGTTTTAATTTGAGCTTTAACAACCCGGTAGAATCCATATTATAAATGATCAGAATTTACCGTGTGCAACACGTTGTCATTGGCAACCATTCACAGCCACTTGCATAACTGTATCGTAGTACTACCTCAGAGTTTCATTCATAAGAGTTTGCCGTGTGCAAAAACTATTAAACCATTGGTCAGGGAAAGCTTTAATTAATTATTCATGTGCCAAAGTTGAAAGTTTAAACTAAGTCTAAACAGTATTTTAGTGATAAGGCAGGGAATGCGTTGCCTTATATAAACTATATAGTCATTGCGCATGACGGGATTGGTGGAATGAGATCACAGAATGTGGAGATGCAGTCCATGTTAAAAAATGACAAACCAAGTCGTACTTTAAAAATTCATAACTTTAAAACTACAACAGCTAAAAATATGATTTTGGTGTTATAATTCTTTAAAAAATTACATCTTTTCAACTATGCCATTGGTTTATTTTTACAAAAAGTTTAAATTTTCTTATCAAAGTCCCTACACTATTGGCCACTATTAGCGGTGCTGACTCTAGCCTCTGGTATGTACGGAATATTAAACATTAAACAAGCTCAACGCTCGAAACAATCGATTAATGTATCGTGATCGTGTGGAATTCGGGAAAGAGAATTACTTTTATTTCAGATTATGATCCGGTGAGTCACAAAATCTGGCAAATTCCGAAATCCGGTATATTCCGGAATCCGGTTGTTCCGGATACATGTAAATCCGACGGAACCGGATTCCGGACTCCGGCACACCCCTAAGTATAATGATACAATATTTCATTTTAAAGAGAAATATTTTTGTTTACAACAATAAAAAAATGAAACAGCAATGACAACATAATGTATAGAAATTGTGAGGCAAAATTAACCATACTTAACATCAGATGAAACATTTTATTATTTTTTTAAAATCCCCTCACCCCCACACCACACACAATCCACACATCAAATACACACATACACACCCCACACACACAAACTGGTGATAATAAAACATATACCTTGTCATAAGGAGGATAAACGAGATAAGCTCCACCAATGTTCTCGACATCTGGGAAGTGGATCTTTAAGAAGGTGGCATCCATGCACATGGAGTTGAGAGCAACACCACCTGGCAGAGCAACGACATCAATTTACATTTTAAAACATCAAAGTGCTTTGTAAAATTGGTTTTATCAATGCCTTAAATAAGTAAAGAAATGTATCTGTTCTATGACGTTTAACATAATGCCCGCTATATTCTCCATCCCATCCACAGAATTTTTGAATTTTTAAAGATGGTAACAGGTCAATTCATCGACAGCCATGTCATCGACATACTCTTCGACATGCCACTCCGCCCACAAAACACTTCATTGACAGGCAAAATATCAACATAGTCACAATAAACAAAATTAAGCACTTATTTGTATAACCGAGCAGATTCATTTTGAAATCTTTGAAATCTTCAAACAATAACAATACCATTTATTAAAATTATGATCAATGCAATTACATCGAAATGATGGGCCAAACAACAAAAAATACAAATCAAGGTAATTTCAACCAGATATCTTCTGAAAATTTAAATCTTCCATCAGTTGAGTTGCCATATTTCATTCATCAAATAAATACTTGTCGCCCATCAATAAGTTGAGTGATGGCCAATTCATTAAATGTTGTGAGATGGTTAAAATTGTTTGTGCCATCCCTCTATGTAATTTTCTGTTTTCTGAAGTCCTTCAATAGTACCGCCAAATGGATTTCTCATATTCAATTGAATTTCTGGTGGTCGACGTCTTTTCCATAAACGAAATGATCAGTCCAACTATTTTTGAAGAAATCCTTCAATGGTTGAAGTATGTTTTTATTAGCTTTTAAAAAAATATAGTATTAGAATGATCTTCAAATGTCAGAACTAGAACGTGATTTTTCTGTTTTGAGCCAAAACCAAAACCTTTATGAGACTTAAGAATTTAATGAGGTTGCAATTTTTTTTAACATATTTTTAAACTAATCTTCTTAGCCGTTCTCACTCCCAATGGAGCATTGGCCATCCACAATAATTTTCCATCTATCCCTGTCCTGGGCTATCTTAGCCCAGCTTTTCTTCATACTCTTCATCTCAGTCTCTACTCCCCTCTTCCATGTGGCTCTTGGTCTTCCTCTTTTCTTGGTACCTTGAGAATTCCAGCTCAGGGCCTGTCTTGTGATGTTAGTGTTTTGTTTCCTTCATGTGTGCCCTATCCATTTCCATTTTCTCCTTTTTATCTCTGTTTCCACGGGAACACTTATGTTCTCTCCCAAAGGACAGTTTTACAAATGTCAAACCATCCTATTTTGAGGATCCTTCGCAAGCATCTGTTTATAAAAGCCTGTAGTTTTTTAAGGTTTGTTTTTGTTGCTCTCCAAGTCTCACAGCCACACAGAAGAAGTGCCTTGACATTTGAGTTGAATATTTTTAACTTTTTTTTGGTCAGTATTTCACTTGAGTTCCAGGTGTTTCATAGGCCATTGAATGCCCCACGAAACTAATCTTATTTCACAAAAATAACAAGCTTTCCTTAAGAAATAAATCTCACAAAAATCTCATGACGCCCAATGTGGGACCATGTTTCTATTGGAATCTATAGATACATTAAAAGTGTTAAAAATATTTAATGACAGATAAAATAATTACCAGCTGGAGTTTAAATTTTTGAGATCCTAAGGCTGAATGGCATTTGCTCATCAACCGCTTATAGGATACTTCCTTTTTTTTTTTTAATAAGGGATTTCCCTTACCTAGAGGATAGCAATGTTCTTCCGGTTGTTGTAACAAGTCCTGGGGCCACATTGGCAGCTCCCTGTCACCTCTTTGTAAACGTTGCTTGAAGTCGTAGATTGGAATGTTGACCCAGGACGCCAAATCCTAAAGATGTGACATAGAAGTTAGGAAATGATTTAACTTTCATTGTTCTTTTTTTTTTTTTAAAAGTACTATTTTTCTGTTGGCGACAGTAAGGCTATTCAACGGCACCAGACCGTCAGTGACAGTAGGACTATTCAATGGCACCAAATGGAGTTAATGTTTTGGGTTCAGAATATTCAAATAAACAGCCAGTGTTGAGAAAATCCAGTTAGGCAAGTTACCTTTCTCTTTGAATTGCTGCTCCCCAAGGTATACAGGGCAAAGCACAGCCGGGCACAGTGCGGGAGATCCTCAACATTGATATCAAAGACAATGTCAATCTTGACACTGCACATCCCTTCTGTCACGATGATCTCATCAGTCTCTTTCTCCTTGCATAGCGATTCTCCCCCGTGATAGAGTCCCACGTACAGTTTGATCTGTGGTTGAAAAAAATACATTGATATCATACAGTATAATTTTATACAGAATCAAATTATGAAGAAAAAAAATTGGGAGGATCCAGAGAAGGGTGATCAACAGCCTAAAGTTGGGTGTCTTATCCAATACCCGATTGGGCATATGCCATCTGGGCCAAGGCCATGATGAAAAATGTGCAGGTCTGCCTTGTCTCACCTTTGAGCCAACAGTAAGTTAGAGGGTAGATAAAACACTTTCTGACCATTGAGCCATCAGTAAGTAAGAGGCTATTTAGAACAGTATATGACCTTTGAGCCATCAGTAAGTAAGTGGCTACCTATACAACTACCTGACCTTTGAGCCATCAGTAATAGGCTATATAGAACAGTATTTAACCTTTGAGCCATCAATAAGTAAGAGGCTATATAGAACACTATCTCACCTTTGAGCCATCAGTAAGTTGAACTTTTGATATGCCTTTTATTTGTATTCTATAGTTTGACTTGATTGTCCACACAGAGACATTGTTCTCACAGCGAAAAACAGAATCTTCTTTAAGCGGCGAGTTGATCTGAGCCAGAGTGGGTCTCCGTGGCACAGGAGGGGTTGACTCTGCAGAGAGAAATTGCATTAAATTTTCCTGGGCATTATAAACTAATTCAAGGGTTGGGAAAAATTATGGTGATATTGTGCCTAATTAAGATCTCTACTTCGATATCGCGTGCCAGCAACCTAATCAGTCTGCCTTTTAAGATGCATTATTAATGTTTTTGGTGTTCAGAGTGCCATTGAAAATGCTCTGCGGGCCACATCTGGCATGCGTCCAAGAAGTTGATGAAGGCGGTCATGAAATTCGCGAGAACTAAATGTACTCACAAGCATTATGGGAAAAAAATTTAAAGTGTACCTGGTAATGTAGACTTTAGTATCATCCAAAACTGGGGCGCTGTCTTTTTGACCAGGCACTGATACACATACTGTTGATGTCAGACAAAAACATATCAGTCAGTGGGGGAGAAATAATATATAAGCTGTTTATGCATACATAAAAACAGACTAATCTCATAGTCTCATTGTTGACCCTTTCAGGTACATTTTGGTTTTCCTGATTGGCAATTCTTCTTATTAAGTAGTCACAAGGATCCTATTTATAAACAGAAAGTACAAAGCTCTTGTTTTTTTGGTGTCTTGTTGTGCACCTGATTTTAGGCTTCAATAGATTTAAAAAAAAAAAAAATTCTGTTGACAGTAGATTTATGCGTCTGCCCTCAAACTGCAAGTAAGTTGGCTTTTATTGTCGATAGCAATACATTTTATCCAGAAATGGTTGCTGAAGTAGATAATGGAAATAAAAGTGATGATATTGAATAGTTCAAAATCATGATGTCCCAGAAGGGTCAGAAGATAAAGTCATTAAAGTTGATATGTCTGAATGGTCTAACCAATTGCACTCAATTAACATTGACGAAATATAAGTCTAACTTTTCCTAATGTTGACTTATTATAATTAAAATTCCACCTTTTCTCTAAAATTATCAGTAATTTTTTTTATGCTGAATGAAAGATTGATTTTTAATGAATTTTAATAGTCATCGACTTATGGTCGAAATGGAGTTACCTCCCTTACCTTGGTATTGAATTTTATTTATTAATGGGTGCATGGACACTGAAAAACATCAACATGAAGCAGTGCAGGTTGAGAAACGATCAAGAACACAAACCTTGAATTGTATCAGAGGATAATCCCCATACAGATACTCCTCCTGACCTATGACCTTTAGGATGTAGAGCTCTGAATTTTCAAAGGGCACACCAGTGGTATTGCATCTTTTCAGCAGCGCTTGCTTGACTGCGTCATCAGGTGTTTTCATGTGGTCCACCTGGAGTTTGTAGCAGATCTATGCACACAGACAAAAAAAAAGGGTTAAAAATACACATTGCTAAGATGATACCATATACTGTTAAGATACAGTGACCAACTATGATACTGTGACCATCTACGGCTAAGATACAGTGACCATTTAATGCTAAAATACAGTGACCGTCTACTTCTACGATACAGTGACCATCTTCTGCTAAGATACAGTGACCATCTTCTGCTAAGATACAGTGACCATCTTCTGCTAAGATACAGTGACCATCTACTGCTGTAAACTACTGTCAAATTCTTACCCCATTATCACCAAATCCTATGTCCACAACAATCCGACCCCTGGATATGGTGGCTTGTAGCTCAGTTGGTACAGTGTCGGCATTGCGCAGCCTCAGCGGATACCTCCACATAAACTTCTCCATTGGTGTCTGCGATTGATCAGAATTAGAATCCTTTAACAATTTTTTTATTGAAATAATTTCTCATTTGTAAATGAATATTACCGAGGCTCAGAAAAGAAATTGGCTTACAAATGGACATCGAGTTCACACGCTTTTTATAAGAGTATTATCCTGGGTTAACAAAACAATACACAATAAAAGCATCATCCTATGTGAATTGGTGTCAATTTCGATATCCTATATTAAACCTTGCAACCAGTGAGACATCCTCTTCAATACCAGGCAGGGAAACATTGCAAATCCCTCTACATACATAGGAGCCAGAATGATCAATACATTGATCGTGGGCCCTTAATATATAGAAGAAGAAACAATGAGTCAAGCTATCCGTATAGCCAAAATTCTTTTCTCAGCATTCAGCTCAGAGTTCATATGATAATGTTACAGTGCACAATTATTCTTCTTTTAAAAAAAACAAAAAAAGTTTTACTCGTCACCTGTGCTCTTCTTTGAGTTGCAATTTCTCTGCAAAGGTCGGACATCTTTTGCTTGAAATCGAATATCTCAGCAGCCTGAAAAGATTCTTGCTTGTGTATCCCTGATAAACAATTAATCTCATATTAGTTAACTTTTTAAAAAAGCACACGGTAGGATTTAAATTCATTTCCTTCAGCATGCTATCTATGTCCTCTTTTGCGCTACATTCATATACAAGTGTACGAGCTCAGATGGATACAAACATTTCTCAACAGGGGGCCACCATGGACATTTGAGCTACACCAACTACAAAGTGCACTCATGTCGTAAACATAAACTCAAGCTTTTACAGATTTAACATTGTAAACAAGCTTGGTAATCTCCTTCCATGTTCTATGCATGCCCTAATTATGTATTAAATTGGTCATTTTGTATAAATAAATTCCAATGCTTGTGTGTAGGCCCCACAAATTGCTGTCACAGGTTGCAGGGGCCTTAAGTTATTTACTCCTGGTATAACTCAAACATGATTAATTAATCATCATTATCATCATCAGTGGTACTACAGCCCATGTAGGGCCCTGGTCTGCTCCAACACATCCTTCCATTTGGATAGAACCATGGCTTTCCGCCTCCATGTGTGGATCACCTAAACATTGATCCATCTCGGTCTTGGTCGACCGGTGAACCACGTGCCTGTAGATCGCTTTTGCTGCTCTACAATCTGGCATCCTCTCAAAGTGTCTTGTCTAGCTAATTTTGCCTTTTTAATTGTTGCGACTAAGTGTGGGTATCCGTATAGTTGATACATCTCTTGGTTTGTATGGATTCTCCATCCATCTTTGTCTTTTCATGAGGATTTTTTTCTCCCCTGTGTTGAGTAGGGTCTCTGCTTTTCTGGTAAGAGACCTAGTCTCATTTGTGAAAATTACTACAGGTCTTGTGTTAGTGGTGTATAGTGTCTTCTTTTTTCTCCTTGAGGTTTTCAAAACTAGTAGCTTTTGAAGACTGAAATAAGAACGGTTGATATCTTTTCTTTCACCTCTTGACATATTAGCTCCTAGATCTTTGAAAGTAGCCAGTCTCTTCAAGGTGTGGTTGATCATTGATATGTTGTCATTAGTTTCTGTGTTTTGTGACAAACATATATTTTGTCTTTGCCTGGTTAATTAACCAAAACCAACATCCCATTTTAATTAATTAACTTGACAGTTAGAAATTGTAATGGATTTATATATTGATTATATGAAAAACTACCTCTGCCAATAAGATTATTAATCTTTTTGTCAATGGTTTTAGATTTGGTGTCTCCCTTCTTCTTCACCAGCTGGAAGACTGCCAGGAACGGTTGCAGCTGCTCTAAATTTTGACTTTCATCCAACACTTCCTCCTGCAGGAAAGAATCAATTTTAATTTCCCAAAATCATTTGAGACAGGATCAATTTTAATTAGTTCTCAAGCAGTTTATGGAAAAGTATGTTCCTTTTATGCTTAGATAATTTTATGCTAAATAAAAAAGATTAAAGTATTGTTATGAACTGAAATGAAACAATCCTTATATAATAATGTTTCAACCAATGACAACTGGTTTAGGATGTATTTTTTTTACATTAAATTTTTTTTTTCAAACATCTTATGTTTCTCTTTCTGTAGAAATATCAATCAAGTTTTTCATTTTTTAAAATATTTTTTTACAAAAGGATTATTGAACATTAAATAAAAACCTTTTGATGACGTTACCTTTTCTCCAAGTTTATTTATGAAAAAAAAGCTGTAAGCATCTTCTTGCATCAGATTGTTGGCCAAGGGATAATTGTGTACTTCTCGCCATATAATCTGTAAAGAGTGTTCATAGATGAAGGATAAAGATCAGGGTTTCTCAATAATTGTATTCTGTAATGTCTACAAATTGTTTGAGTCTCTCCCCCCCACCCCCCCCTTTTAAAAAACAAAAATTTCCATCTTAAAAATTAAAAGAAAAAGACATTTTTTAAATTGAATTACAAAGAGAACTTTTGAACTTAGAAAACAATCTTTTGCTGAAGAAAATTTATAAACATTTATATCATAAATTAAAAACTAATTCCCCTCTCATTGCTACCCCTGAAATGCACCTTGCATCATCTGAAATGCCACAGGGCACCCCACATGAGGGTGGGACCAGGCAGGTTGGGAAAACTTGATGTAGTTGGTAAAGATTCTAATGTTTATGGTGTTCAGCTAAACCGTTAAAACATCTTGATCAATAAAAAAAATAGTCAGATAGTTACATAAATCACTACAGGTGTACTTATTCACCTGTTTAATCTGGTCTAGTGGTGAATAGAAGTTCACAGCTTGGGGAACAATGATCCCATTCGGAAACAGAAAGTCAATCTCTACTTGGTTGTTCTCATCCATTTGATCTTTCAAACAGGGAAGTGTCAAAAGGCCATCCATGGATGCTAGATCTGGATAAGCCATTCTCTAAGCTGTTTTTAGATAGTTTCCGAGTGTCTTTAGTTCCTAAAAAATCAATGACACTACATCTGTAAAATAAATTGGAAATCATCAGCAAATTTTTTTCTGGATAATTAGCAATCACACAGCTACTGCATTGTTAGGTACAGCAAATTAATATCAATAACTTTCAAGTCGCTATGATTACTTTTTATAGGATTTAGGCCTATGAACTATAATTCATGTGGGCCTATAATTATAATGAAAATGGGGCCCATCCATAAATGATGTGATGCATCGGGGTTGGGGGGGGAGATTAATTTTTAACCCGAAGGGGGTCCAAAATCTTCCAAAATAGTGTCATGTTATTTATGAATGGCCCCTACATAATGTGATAAAAATTAATATCACATTATAAATATAATAACTTATACTTACTGGCCTATAAATTAGTATATACTTTTTATGTTAGGCTAGAGCAGTGGTTCCCAAAATTTTTTTTAGTTTGTTGGACTGATGGACAAGTTACGAAATTGCACCCGGGATCAGTAACATATTTACTAATATTTTATTATTTGACCAAAAATATTCATGTGTGGACAGGCAATGTAAGGCTCGCAGACAGGCATTTTTTTAATGCTGGGCTAGAGACTAGAGGACAGTTACTGACAGTAGGCTGAGTAAGTATTAGGACTATTGGCATTGAAAAACTATTTAAATATTAACCAACAGTATTAGATTAGGCCTAACAAGTGCAGCTAGATAAATGGTTCTAACTAGTATTTGTAACTAAATGCATAGGACTCAAAACTCCATTCAATAGTAGTATTCTAGAAAACTAAAAGTAAACTTGAAAATGTAAAGAGGCTAGGTTAAATGTAAAGGCAAAAATAAAAATGCCAATTATTTTTTTTTCAAATAGCCTACAAGCCTATGGCCTATTAATGATAAGTATCATACTAACTATTCTATGCATTTTATTATATAACTATATTCCTCACAAAATGCTGCTTCAAAAAAATTGGTGCAAAATCACTCTGAAATCTCATTCACTCCCTCTGATAATTACTTTAGGCCTACTTTAAAAAAAAATATAGCTTGCAATTATTAAATTAGAAATGTAAGAAATTAAGTAAGGTAACATCTTATGAAAAATGTATCTCTAATGACTATTTAATGAGAATGATTATAGTGGGCTAGTCTAAAGTCTAACTAGAGTCTAGTCTAGTTTGTTTATTAAGAGAAGAGTCAAAATCAATTTGAAAAGGATTCAAAATGTATTTAGTATAAGTATCATCAGTGAATGGTTAGATTATTTGTCATGATTGTCAAAAGTGAGTCTAAGAGTGACACGAATGTTTGAATCAAAGAAAAATTAATCAGAATGAATCAATAAATTATGAATAATTAATTTATAATTCATTTTTTGAATCTTTAACTTTTATGTGATCAAAATTTGACAAACTTTAAAAATAATTGGAAGTATAATTTTAAAAAGTTTACTTTGTGATTAATATTATATTATTCACTCTCAGTCTGAACACAAATTTAAATTTTTAAACATTAAAATTCAAAACAGAAAGTACCTTATAAAGTGTTAAGAAAATCGACATTAACTAATTTACACTTCCTCATTCATCGTGAGATTAACTTCCTGTTGTTGGTGAAGAGTGAAGAGCGCCTGGATCATAAACAGACCAAGGCTGCCACTCACTTTTTTTAAATTTCCCAAGATTTGGTGAACGAATTTCCCAAGATTTCCCAAGGTCATAAAAATACATAAGAGTTTGTTTTTTTTTTTTAAAGGGTTTTTTCTATGTAATTAATGTAATAATAGATTGAAATAATGCCCCTGAAAAACATGGTACATTAATTGACTGAAATTTATTGAAAAAGACATTTAAAAAATTTTTAATCACATAAAAGAAACAATTTGTTTTTAAAAAAAATAATTTATAACCAAAACATCAATACCCACTGGACTTAGGTTAGTAAATATTACCTCCGAATTATCTGGTAAAAATATCTACAATACATGTGTAATAGAAGTCACTTGGAAACAAAGCTTACAATGCTAATCAACATAGAATACCTTTTACAAGGGCAAAAGGCTCTTCATCAAAAAATGATTTTTCTTATTGTAAGTATGTTGATTAGAAGTGGGGTTTGCAAAGCAATTAAGCAAAATTTATTAATAATAATTGTAGTTAAAATGGGTTGATATTATTATGGAAACAATAAGTATTTTTATTTTTTTCTTGTAAATTTACATCATAACGATTTTTTAACACAAAAAAAAAAACAACTTTTAAAGGTATTGTTCATTTATAATACTATAAAGTAGGCCTATACTTTTAATATCTTAGTTACCTGTGTTTCAATCCACAAGTATTTTTCCAATTGATGAAAATTAGGCTGGATTTTTTATAGATGCATTATATTTTGAATGCATAGTAGAAGTAATTGAAATAATCAAATTTTACTATGTCATTGATTCTTGATTGAACACTAACGTTCACTCTTCGGCTTGTACTGTTTTTCGTATGGTTGCTAATGTCTAATAGCCTAATGATAAAGTTTCCGAGTGTACCCCCCTCCTATTTAATAAACATTCAAAACCTGGATGTAATTTGTAAATCTTCAATTTTAAAAAAAAATAATAAATAGAAAATTGAATTTTTCTTTAATTATTAATTTTTTTAACAATTCACAATGATATTAACTTTAATATCAGAAGAGTTTTTATTTATTTGATAAGTGAATTTAAAAAATAAAACCAGAAAAGAAAATTAAAACAATTTATTTTTTGACTTGTTACTTTAAAAATTATTTTGCTTTATTTTCACTTTATTTTTTATCACATATTGGTTGCGTTTTTTTCGAAAAATATAATAACATTTCCCCCCAGTTACGATTTCCCAAGGTTTTGCCTGATTTTCAAAAGTATTCCCCAGATCCCAAGGGGGGTCGTGAATTCCCAAGATCTTGGGAAATTTCCCAAGGTGTGGTAGCCCTGCTCAAGAGCCCAGGAATAGGGGATAGTTAGGTTCAGGGCCTCAGGCCTGGTAGGGTTAATTAAAATAAAATGGTGTCCAAATTAGTCTGTTTAAGTTAAAGTCTAAAGTTAAAGTCTAAAGTTAAAGCACTGACTAAGACTCTAAACATTTAGCAATGTTACTTTTTGATGGTAAATTGCTGTAAAAGTCATTAATTTAATATTTTTGTAAAAATTAAAAGTGCAGCAATTACTAAATTATTATTAATTAAAATAGCGTTAGGCTAGGCCTAAAAACTTTTAGAACTATTTTTATAAATAATCAAAACCAACACATTGAACATTACCCAGAAAACAAATCAGACAAAAATAGTATCTCAAATCGCTCTACACTTTACTGACAACAAAAACACTTTATCCATCCGATTTTAGATTATGCATCTTCAGTCTGGGACCCATTTACCCAGAAGAGCATTGAGAGGTTGGAGGCGGTCCAGCGACGAGCAGCACGCTTTGTCCTAAACCGCTACAGGAATACCTCTAGTTCTAGTGTTGGCAGCATGCTAGAAACACTAGGCTGGTCACCATTGGAGAAACGACGACAATCCAGGCTCTCCATGATGTACAAGATAAATAATGGGCTGGTCCACTGTTCCAGTATTAAACAGAAACTTGTCCCTCTCCCCCATAGACAGCGACGAGGCCATGACAGGCAATTCAGGCTCATACCAGCGAGAAGCCAGTATAGGAGCTGCTCATTCCTGCCCAAGACAATCAGGGACTGGAACCATCTTTCAAAACAAAAGGAACGGTTGAGGCGACAACACTAGACACATTTGTGTCTATTGCCTCAAGCCTTCAAACCCCTAGTGCATGATTTCCTCATCAACATCAGTAACAGAAACATTGCAAATCGCATCTACATGCATAGGAGCCAAAATGATCAATAAATTGATCGTGGGCCCTTAAGATATAGAAGAAGAGCAAAAATAGCCATGCGAATTTTCAGTGTAGTAAATAAAAAGGGAAACTACTCAGTAACTCTTCAGTATAACTGTTAGGGAAGGCAGAGACGAGATCCCGTTAATTATCTCCATCTAACAATTTTAAAAAATATCACCGAAAGAAAATAATGTCTTGATAACCTATCCGCATTAAGTTAAGTGTGATAACTTAAAATTAAATAGAAATATAACATAGACAGTGCAGAGTGTTTCTACTTTACTATCACAGTTTCATATAAAAAAAAAGCCAACGTTAATTAAAAACTTATGCTAAGCCACAAATAGAGAATACACAGGAATCGATTAATGAAACATTTATTTTATAGATTTTTTAAATCATTGTATTTCATTGTCATTCAAACAAAAAAAAAACAGTTGAAATTACTATGCGATGAACACATGGATAGGATGATTGTATGGAACCAATCGGAATTGAATATCGAATAATTCATGTTGTTATAACTTTTATTCAAATCACCTCTAGTAAAATTCATATTAATTGTAATTTACCCTCATACTATAATTAGGGGGGGGGGGGGGGGACGGGACCCAAACTAGAAAATTGAACATTTGACAGAGCTGGCTATAATGGTTTCATTTTTTAAAAACCCTAAGTTAATTACAAGAACAGGGTGTCACCAGAACATGGACAGCAGCACATGGTGCCATCAGAATAGGTTACCACCATTAAAAAAAAAAAGTTAACGTGCTTGGCATTCAGATGCCAAAACAGGGTTCAGATTTCGAACAAAAATTTGCTAATAGTTTCCTTCGAATGCCAAGTTGTTCAAGTTCTAAGGCGTTCGGATTCTGAGGCCACAGTGTATATGATATGGACTGAAAATGTCACCTACCACCACACAAAAAAAGTACCCTCTAGGCAAACCGCCTCTCTACGCCATTGATTTTGAAAATGGTGGGGCGGGTGGGGTAAAGCCCAGGAAAATGTTAGGATATCTGGGGTTTAAAGTAATATTTTCTAATTTATGCATTTTGTAGAATAGATTATATAACACAACTCAACTAACATGTTTATTGTTTGAATGATATGTTGGTGTTGTGCGTTTGTATCTCAATCATCTTAGTCTTATCGGTTGAAATGTTGTCCTATCTTCTGCTCATATCTAGTCAGTCCATTTGACTTTATATATTTATAGATACGTCTTGGTACCCTTCTATTACTTCTATATACGTTAACACCTATTACAACAATTCTCTCCCCCCACCCCCCTTTTTACTAAATTTCAGGTGTTCCCGAAATCATCCAGCTCACCTTAAAGTGTTTCTTTCAATATGTTCCGGGGAGGGCGGCTGTGTCAAACATTTGGGGAGGCATGCATATTGGTACATAACAAAATTCATTCTGGCAATTTCATTGGGGAGGGCGCAATAAATGCGTTCAGGGTGGGGGGCATAGCACCTATTAGCGCCGAAATTATGCATATAATATAAATAGTGCCTAATACCATACATAACCATATTTCACACCAGTTGTGGCGCGCCCTTGGGTCATCATCATGTCCCTTAGTCATTGGACCATTATATTCCTCTAATTGTTAGTCATACATTTAATTGAAATTAATTCGTTTAGCGTTGAAAGCGATGATTTAATCTTCAATTCAATAACACCTTGAATTAGTGCAAATAAATATAATTCATTCTCAGTGATGTCAGTAAAATATTAATTCAACAGTTTATATTTATCATTCACCAAAACCCTATTAATTAAATTCTTAATCGAATATTACGTTAGTTAGACAAAATACTAGGCCTATTACTATTACTATTATCCTTAGTCTTTTAAATATCTATGTAGCGCAACTCAATGAGTCAATGCGTTTAAGAATGTTTCATTGTGACCCTGGTTATTTTAACTACATGATACATGTATATGCACTTTTACACGGAATTCTAAATTTAGTTTACGGTCATTCCCTCTAACTCTAAGGTCATTGGCGTAGTCACGAAGGAGACAAAGATGGAGTCAGACTGACTGAGTTATGGCAAGCACATGATGAGAAAACTACGTTGTGAGGGAAAATCTTGTTCAAGTTGAACTTGTCATGCAATCAGTGGCCCAATACGGGAGGATCGTCGCCCGTGCCTTAGCCGCCGGAATTCACAACGAATTTCAGTTGAAAAGTCCATTCGAAAAGCCGAAAGAACCACTTCATTTAGTCACTGGTGCCTCAGGGTTTTCTAAGTCTAAGTCCTTGACTAAATCAAGTCAACTAAGTAAATGGACTTTCGGAGATGACGCATACTTCATTAGCAGAAATAAAGTCGCAGATGTCATCGGTAATAATTTTATTGTTTTTTTTGGGTTTTTTTTGTACAGTATAATAATATAATTTAAAAATAAGTTTATGATGGGCGTCATTGGTCGGACTTTAGAATTAGGCAGGTAGGTCATGTTTTTGTTTACATTCATTCATTCATTGCTATCCCAAAAATTCACCTTACACTTACACTTTAGTCTTAGTTTTAGATTGTGTAATCTGGGTAATTATTTAACCCATTCTCATTTAGATTTAGATCCAGGTCTTAAGCCAGTGAATATCTAACTTTAAAGGATTTGATTTTTATTTATTTTTTTGGCAATCCAATTTGAAATTTTTTCCAATCCCTGCCACTTTGAGTTTCTGTATGGGATTCTCTCCTCTTTGTTTATTTGTGGAGAATTAGCTTCTATTTTTTTAATATTAATATACTGATGGAGTGTTTTTGATTGATATTTCATTGGGTGGTTAATAATATTTAAAAAACAAGGCTATGTTGCAAAGGCAATTTTGCCAGAATTTTTTCACTGGATAGCTTAACATTATACCCAGTAGACTAGTAGAAAAAAAAAATTAGTTTGTTTATAGATTTCAAACCACTTACATAACAAAATAAAATTAAATTGTATCAAATACATTATATAATTGTGTATGATTAATGTTTTTTATCGATATATTTTAACAGAAGAGTATTATAAATGCTGGAAAGTCCCCTTTAATAGTGTAATGTTTAGATTGCTATAAGTCTGCATGATTAATGATTTGTTTTTATAAATCTGAATTCTAAACGAAAGTAAACAAGATAATGTTCAATTCACAAATAATTTTATTTGAATTTAGAACAACAACATAATAGAAAATAATGAAGTGTCTGATTTAGAGTGTGCAGCATCTTCAATAGCAGTTTGGTTTTGTTCCAGAAAAAGTCGATGCTTCTCATTTACATTCAAATCAGAGGGAAAATATTTCTGTCCTTGTGCACCCTTTCTTCTGTTATGGCTGGCTCTGCAACTGAAAGATTGAATGTGTAATAAATAACACAGCTAACTCTGTAAAGCAACTTTTTATTTTCATTTCCTTAACACTTCTGATGTGTCGTAACCATCAGTTTTACCATGTTAATGTAAAATGAACTTTAGTGGTTATTTAATAAAGTTACCGGTAACTCTCCATACAGAACCCTTTATCGTGATTACACGTTATGGAGGGTATCTTTCCTCCGCTTGAATAGCAAAATGATTTATTTTTTTTCGTGTTGCGCTTTTTTTTTCTTTTTATTTTCGAGATTTTATAGTATAAACAGCATTTTCATCCAGGCGGTTGTTAACCACCATTTTTTTTGTTGTTTTGCGTCGTGATATTTAGTGCGCATGCGCAGAATGCCGCAGAATAGCTTGCCAATCACACAGATTGGTCCGAAAATATGTGCAGCATTTTGATATTTAAAAAAATAATTCACACTGCCTTTTGAAAATAAATCATTTTTAGACATAGAATAATATGGGATTCTAATGTGTTTTGTAGATAAACTTTAACTTGTCTTACAGGAACTTGGTTTGCTCTACAAGACTGTACAGTTATCTCATTTTTTTTTTAAATGGCAGATACCGCGTTTTGAAAATCGACACTTCATTTATTAATTATTATACAGTAGTTTTCTTTTAGAGTGAATTTAAATAAAAGATTTATATTTCTTTTGGCTTTGCATATATGATATGAAAATACATGAAACTACTAAATAACATACATATTCTTCTTGTGGCTTGAGCTTATGCTCTCAAAGCCACGGCTAGTACAGAGGCAACCTGGTCCATCTATTGGGCAGTACCATGTAACATTTTCTAAATTTAAGACTCTCCTGGCCTCCCCAGCAACATCCATTGCGGGGGCATGAAGTCAACTGATGCGCTACGGTTTCCGGGACCATATTGCAATGTCGGCAGATTGAGTCCCTGTTATTGTCTAACCTGTTGAAGTAAGATTTAGTAGGGCAGAGCTCCGTTAGCATTTTAGTCATTAGACTGTGGTGTCATGACCCAGTTTCCACCAAGGGTCTGTTCTAATAGGAACTTCTCTGGCCTTTGTCCTGTCTGCACCACTTTGTCCTCGAGTGGCCCGCCAGCCAGTTTTTGACACTGAGGTAAGGGACTAGCGTTTCTGGCTGGTACTGGACAGCCTCGGTTCATTCCAGTGAGTCTGCTCTTTCATTGCCCTTCACGTTTACATGGCTTTGAACCCATTGCCTCGGATTTTCTCAATCTTGCACACATCATCCATGATGGCATCAACCAAGTGGTTGATAATGAATGTTTCTAATTTGAATGAGGAACAATGCATAAATAATAATTAAGATGTTTAGAGTTGTTTAAACCTTTATTACTTTCAAAAGGAGTAGCAGATGGTGTTGGTGGCTGGAGAAACTATGGCATAGACCCATCTTCATTTCCTCGTACTCTAATGCTGGTATGTGAGCGTATGGTGCGGGAAGGTCATTTTGTGCCTCAATCTCCAGCCAACATTATTGCTGCTGGCTACAGTGAAATGATGGAACAGAAAGTTCTAACTCTAGGTAAAGAATTTAGTCCCTTTTTTTTGTTATACATTGGTTTTGAATCATTAAATAGATTGTCTAAAATTATATGTAATAGAATATTACACAAAAATAACGTATTTCAGATTAGAAATTTTATCTAGCATAATTACGTATTTTTTAAGCTTTTCTTTATTTCGGCAAACACTATTTTAAATTCTAGGCAGCAGCACAGCTTGTGTAGTCTCACTCCATCGAGAGGAACAAACCATCTACTCTGCTAATCTAGGAGACAGTGGATTTCTTGTTATACGAAATGGGGAAATAGTCCACAGGTCTACAGAGCAGCAGCATTACTTTAACACTCCCTACCAGCTGGCCGTTGCACCACCTTCAAGGGACGGTCAGTGGCTCAGTGATAGGTGACATTTTACATTACAATCTGCATTACATTTATTTTGTTCACTTTCCCCAAACACACAAAACCGCTGATAAGTGTTGTGCTGAAATGTGATCTTGTTTTGTTTTTTTTTTTTATTTCAAGTTACACCAGAGAAGGTTTTTAACTGATTAACTACCAGATTGAAAAACCGGCTGTGGCAGAATTAAATCTAGGTCACATTTTCTCATTTTAGCTGTGTGTCCAAATTCAGCTGCTGTTTTCTCAATCATAAACATATTTTAATGATTAATAAACCATTTTGTAGGTAATGGAATTGTTTATAAGATAAACTTAAAACATTTGTAATAGTAGAAATTATTAATTGTTAAATTAGTATTTACTACAGAGAAAAAAAAATATGTAAATGTGCCAACTTACGTATAAATTTTAAATTTCCAAATTATTTAAAGCCTTTTATTTAGTGGTTTCCAAATAGTATATCCAATAATAAGAAAAATGCACCAAAGAACACAGAAATTGAATAATATTTACACCTCCAATTACTTATATGCCTTTAGTAACACTGTCACATGTTGCGACGATTAACAAGTAGTAAAATTTTGTAACTAGCTTAGAAAATAAATCAAAATTAATTAACAGCTCGTTTTTTAAAACGTTCTACCGATAGCGCGTGGTTCTAATATAAACATCCTGTCGGTAAATTAAAAACCCAAAGCAAAACGGGAATAATATAAATGTTTGACTCCAATACAAACATTGGCGCTCGTGGCCATAACGGAAGAAACGCCGAGCCACTCTCAGTGGGGCATGGTAATTAACCAGTTAAGAATAAATAATAGGGGATTTCTAATAAAAGCTTATTTGTGTTTTTAATGCTAACCCTTATTTCTGCATTTGAAACAATTTACAGCCCTGAGATGGCGGAGAGTTCGTCATTTAAAGTTGAAGATGGGGATGTTTTAATGCTTGCGACTGATGGACTTTTTGATAACTTGAGTGAGGATATGATTGTTCGATCACTAAGACCACTACATGTAAGTAATGCTTTGCCTAATGGGTTTATTAATACAAATTTATGATCTGGTCAGTTTTTTTAATACATTTGGCAAGGGATGGGCTATCTTTTTTATTGAAGGGAGACATTTTTATAGCTTAACATGATTATATCTGCTAAGAAAATTATATATTAATTTCAAACATTTTTTATAAAACTGAATCATCTTTGTTTTTACAAACTAAGTATATAGTTTACATATTAAATGTCTAGAGTTTTCTAAGGAGCACGAGTTTCTTTCCATCAATTGCATTATCTTTCTGAAATCTGCAGACACATAAGGAGGAAGAAAGGATCCAATCTACAGCGCACAGCATGGCTGAACATGCCTACAAACTTTCATTAGACCCTGACTACATGTCTCCTTTTGCACTCTCAGCTTGTGACATTGGTATTGATTTGAGAGGCGAGTATTTTAAACAATTTAAATTGTTCTAGAGCTTAACTAGGGCAGATTTTTTACACGGGGTCTTGATATTTTGCCAATCCTACATCCAGTCCTACAACCACCTGCCAGGCTTTAAACTATGGGCCTACAGACAGTTCTACACCCTACCTGCCGGCTTTTAAACAGTAGCCTTACAGACAGTCCTACACCCAACCTGGTGGTATTTTAAAAAATAGTCCTACGGACAATCCTACAGGCAGTCCTACACCACTCTGTATTATTAATATAAAACATGTTGAGTTGGGGAAGGGCCAGTTGTGAATAGGAAACAGCCACACCAGAAGAGAAATATATATAAGAGAGGATTCAGCCATGGAAAAATAATTATTTTATAAATCAATTTTTTTTTAGAGTAGCTTCTTCCCTGTAACATTGTCTGATAAAGTCTGATAAAATAATTGCATAGCTAATTACTTTTTTAACATTGTATGAATAGCAATAAAAAGTGAATTGAACTATTGATGAAAGCTTTTTGTTTTGCAAGTCCTGATTAACTAATTTCTATATTTCTCATGTCTGCTAAGGAATGCTCTTAGCTCAAACACTCTTCTTTTATTATCCTGTCTTTCTATTTCAAGCTTGTGTCACAGATTAGATGATGGTAGTATGAGCTATTGCCCGTTGCGTACCAAGTAGTATTGGTGTTGGTTGATGTAGGGGTTGCTCCTCTCTGTGAAAGTTCAGTGTCCAGACGTTGAGGAAATATAATGAAGAAAACACAGACTTCAAAGAATGACCAATAACTTCCTCATTAACAACTATAAACAAAGAATGTATTACTAGATCCAATACAGTCTAACAATATTCCCTTTGAAACCGTTAACATCCATTAGTCTTCAACGCTTCACAACTTCCAAAACATTCAGTAATCTTCCACGCTCCTTAACCTCAAAACATTTTTCTTCCTTCTGAAATCGCCCAACACCCATTCAAAATCCAGCTAACGTGGTGCGACCCATAGGAAAAACCCAAAAAATAACATTATTACTAACATGGAAATGCAATGGAGCGCCATTGTTACACCCTGCCCTAATCATTTGTGACAGCTTGCACATACCATATTCTACTGTTTCCTTCACTCAGCTTGAACGCAGTCCTTCATCATTCATAACTCATGAGATTTATTATTTTTAATTTTAAAAGAAAATTTAAAAAAATATTCTCCCAACTTAAGATTATTAAAAAATCTTTTTTTGTTTTCAGGGGGAAAGCCAGATGACATCACATGCATTATAGCACGTGTTACATACCAGTCCGAAATTTTTCTGTGATGAAAGGTGGTATGGAAAGAACCAAATACCTTTCAACTTTTGTGTTACTTTGGAATCCTTTCCTTTAGATTTAATATATTATTATCATTAACAAGACTGTTACCAACTAAGAGTCTTTTTAAACACACCAATGTACAGTTAATAAGTGTACATAAATAAATCTGAGAAAATATCCTTTCTTTGAAGAGTGCAAGGGAACCCGAAGTTGTGATTTTGGGGTAACAGCGTTTTTGGGCGGCATTTTCATCATTCTGGTAAAAAAATTTAATTAACATAAGTAAGACCTCTAGATGGCCAAATTCATCTTCACTGGGCTTTAAAGGGATTTTAATACTATTTTGACACAGATTTTGTTGAGTGTATGATTTTTTAATGAAATAACAGTTTACTGACAGTTCTGCTTAATTGAAATTACGGCATTGATGATTGATGGGTAAAATAAAAAAACATTATATTTATCTAATTCAAAGAATAGACTAGCAAATAGTCAGAGAATTTGTAAATAATTGGTCGCTTCATTTTTGTCTTATAAAAGTATCGATCTAATCATGCGATTAAGACACTAGCTCCCAGTTCCCTTTTAGTAATAAATATAAAAGAAATGAAATGTCGGCAAGGAGGGAATCAAATAAATCTTTAACGTAACGAAAAAATGCTTGTGTTAAAGTAAAAGTAGGTGCAGCCGTTTTTCCAACATGTTGAAGTTCATCCTGCCTTTGCATGTTAATGTTTACTTGTCCAGTCACATTTGAAATTTGTTATTTTTTAGATCTACTCTTTTCCAGACACAATCAAACCACATCATGAGTAATCAGTTTAATTTAAATCATTTTAAAAAAAATTATCATTCACTCACACCAGGAAGAATTTATTTCTTGTCGGGGGGGGGGTGGGGGGGGTTCACCTTAACTTTTAACACTTTGGGCTTTTTAAAACATGTACAAGCTTTTGAAATACAAAATACCTTTTTTAAAATAAAAAACAACATGAATAGGGTGAGTAATACCAAGTCATTAAAAAATTAACATAAATTTATTTGCAAAAAAAAAAATTTCCCTCATAATACTTAAGGTAATCTCCAATAGTAAGTTTTGTCTCCTCAGATATTATCAGGTAAATTGAAAAACATGTGCTGGTTGTGTTTTGTATTTCCAGCTTAATATCAGGGACTCAATTTATGGGGTGCTCTCTTGTTTTTTGCTGTTTTTTTTTGTTCTCCCTTTTTTTTTGTTCTTCCTTTTTTGTATATTGCAGTTTTTTTGTTGTTTTTTATATTGAAAAAGAATCCATTTTTAAAATAATCATTCATGATAAATTCATGTATGCAAAGTTACTTTTGATTGCTATATTTAAAGGATATTATTAATACATTTTGTTTAAAGACATAACATTCCTAAAAGAGAACATTTATTGGTTATGAATGTATTGCTGGCATTTTTAAGTGTGTGTTTTTTTTTAAAGACTGCTATCTTTTATTGCAAGACAGGTTTATGAAAGTATGGATAAGTGAAGCTTTGAAAATAAGATAAGAGCTTTCTTTATTTGTGATCCTCTTTTTTTTTTCTTTTTTAAAACAAATCTTTTTGCTTACTGAATATTATTATTAACAGGATTTAGAGATATTCATCTTGGACTCTACTACAGGCCTAAATTTTAAAATTGTGTTATGCTTGATTTTGAAAATTTCAATAAGTCACATATTTAAAAATTGTGCCAAAACATTGAATAACGTCTCCAATTATGTGGGAAACTTTTTTAAACTTACATGGAGATTCATTTGGGGTATAATTTATGTTTTCCTGATGTAAATATTTTCATATTCATTTGTAAAGAAGTTGAGCACAATTTAGCCTTAATGACGGAATAGGTGGCTGACAGGCTTTGACCATCTGTGGCATTTTTTTAATTTAAAGTTGTGTCTCCGGTGACATTAGCTGTGTGGTGTAGTTTAGTGTGTGCATAGACTTAGTCCTTTGGACTGTTGTTTGATTGGTTTTCATTTGTTGATGACTGGCAAGCGTTAATGGTGACTGATTAGTTTAAATTTAATCATATCAAGAGAACTCAACAAATATGTGGACTTTGTTATCTAATGAGCAGGTTTTCATTATGAAGTTTCTTAAAATAGATTTCTTGCGCTATCAAATTTTTAAAATTTCCCTTTTTTATAGGTGATACATTTAAGAATGAGCACATCAAAGGTGCATTGCAATATTTAGTCCTTTCCTAAAACCATTGCTCATTAAACTGTAAAGTGTATTAATCAGCAAATAAAAAGTGATTACATAAACCAAGGTGATCAATAAACCTTGAAATATATGGAGCACTACTGTAATCCATTTTTTCTCATGTTATTTTCAATCAAAAAGTTGTTTTGTTTTTATTTTAAAGACAACCTGAATCTGATGTGTCATCTCTGCTTATGCATATTATTAAATTTTTGCCAAGTATAGTATTGAAGGTATAACAAATCTTGAATTAATTATTTAAAGACTGGTTATTTCTGTTCTTGGAACATAAAAAAAAAAAAAAATAGGTATGCAAATCGTATTTTCATTAACCCCACCAATGTAAATATTGTTAAGTTTATAAGTATATGTACTAGGAAAAAACTAAAGCTGTTTTATTAAAATTACAACAGCTTGATTCTAATTAAGGAATACTATTCTCTATCTTACTTAAGCCTTCATTTGCTTAAGATGTAAAATAAAAACTTCTCAAAGAACGACATTCTAGATCTATCAGATTACAGAAGTTATAGAATCTATTCTTTGTAATCTACACGTAGGAACATGTGTTACTCACATGTTGGCTGTAATGTTGTATATTCAATTTGAATTTTGTAATAAAATGTATTTCGTTTTTATAAAAATCCTTATTTCTTGTATTATTTTTTTTCCCCCTAAATAAAAACTCTGCCTTGGGCCTATTATGGTGGTCTTCCAAAAATAAAAATATTGAGTACAGTCTTTCATAAATATAATTTATTAACAAAATACAATAGTCTCATCAGAAATTAATTACCCAATACAAATTAAAACACATCTGACAGGATTTAGCATTATTTCTGACTCTTCGTCACAAGCTCATGATGAATTTTTGTTTAAATAGCAAATAACTTTTACATTATTTTAAAAGTGACTCCAATGACTCCAAATATTTTAGCAAAATCATATCCTGGCAACTGTAAGTAAATTACAAGAACTTAACATTTACAGGCATAATATAAACACATTACAAATAAATAAACTAGCTGTCTTCATCTGAATCTGGCGCCAGCAATGCAAATTTCGGTTGTGACTGGGAGGGTTGTGTGCTTGATTGGGTGCCAAAAAATACAGAACGAAACTGGAATCAAAACATAAATTGGATAATTATAAAATGATGCTTGGGATAAATAAAAATGTTAAGCTAGACTTTCATAAACTTTTTGCTTAAGATACAAGAAATTGTATACAACAGAATTTTTGCTTTATGCAAGAACATATTTTAAGGTCAATTCTATTATTCATACACCAAGAAATCCTAATTGCTAAGAATGAAGGATTAGGTTGGATTGTTTTGAAACATGCCTAAAAAATTATAATCTAAATTGTTTACAAGTACTACAATCACCTATTGCACTGTTATATACACTATTATGAAATATAGATATCAATACCTAAAAATCTAACTGATACACACAAAATTGAACTATTAGAAAAGGGGCTTTTGAAGTTGTGAAAATAAATTTTGAATCCCGGTTACCTTTTTGCTGGGAGGTGTCGGTGGAATATCATCTTCGTCTTCCTCTAGTTCCTCCAACAGAGATTGGTTGTTAGGCTACAGAAGAAGAAATAGTTACAGATCGGGTGGCTTGGCAATATGAGTAGATACTTAATTTACTTCAATATTAAATTTAAAAAACATTTTTTTACCCAAATTTTTTTTTTTAAATTTATGGGGGATGACATGACTCCCATTTTGTAATAAATATAATTCTAAAGAAAAACTTTGAAATAAAATGAGTGATAAGAAGAACCTTAAGTCAGCACCATAAAATGTTTTCAAAAAATTCTTGCAACAAAAATATAGGAAATGAAAAAGTTTTGCACAATAAAAAAAGTATTGTTTTGTTAAAATTAAATAGATCGGCTTACACTTTAAACATGTACTATGGAGAAAGTATTAACTTACCAAATTTTGATCTTGTAATGAAATAACTGGACTCACATCACTGTTAGAACTACTTGCAGACTTTAAAGACAACTTTTTTTTTCCTGCTAAGGTTGGCTCATGCAAATTGTTAGATTTGTTCATTGTTGAATGTGGCATCTCATTTGTCTCTCCTTGTGTGCTTTCAATTCGAGACAGATTTTGGCCACCACCCTTCAGATTATTTCCGATAGGTGCACAATGCAAATCCCCTAAGAGTCTCTCTTTACCACGATCTGGCGCTTTATTCTTTAATGACAACGCTGGATAATTGTGAATATTTCTATCACCTTCATTTCCTCTACCCCATTCTTCATCATCATCATTCTCACCACTTGCTACATTGGTTTCCATGGAAACATTTTTATTACTAAGGACTCTGTGGTCTGGAATCTTGCTGTTCACAGAAATATGTTGTGATGACTGATGTCCGCCATTATTATGTGACACTGATTCATCAGGGGCTGTGACATCCATCATGGCCATGGTTAAATCATCATCATCGCTGTCATTCATGTCGTTTGACGTCTCTGGTTGTACTGATTGCTTAGGAACTTTATTAATAGACCTACTGGCGTTTGATGTATTTCTGAAAAAAAGTAAATTTTAACTTGACCAATAAAATTGAACCACTATCAGTAATATGCAAACTGATTACTGAGGAACAAGAGACAGACATTTGAGGGGGAGAGCTGTTGCGAGGAAGATTGCAATAATGTGACGCTGTAGCAAAATATTTTAAAATGTGCATATACTTAAATGAATATCTCAAAAATTTTAATTATTCTCTCATTAACTAGTGACTATAATGCATTTGTTAAATTTTAGTTTCACTTAGTTTCCCCTTTATTCTTTGTTTTGTCTCCAATAAGGCTTTACATTAGTTTATTACACGTAGGTTTTGTGTCCTTTATTAGAGGTTTACTTAGAATCAATTTTTGTACATGGAAAAACAATAACTAAGGCTGAAATATATTTTAAATGTAAGAAACCATGTTAAATGTTAGAGCTGCACTTTTTTCACCATTCATAGTGTCAATGCTGAAAAAGCCCCACACACACACACACACAAACACCAAGACAAATCAATGATTAAGCCCTACCTGTTTGTTACCGAGTTTCTACCATCTACTTTGCTTTGCTTTCTAGTGGTGCTGCTTTAAAAAAAAAAATATATAAATCTTATGAAACCCCAGACATAAGAATATTTACAATAACAATTTTTAAAAATTGCTCTGTCTCTGTGGCATACTTAAGAAGTCGAATATCTTTAAAATATCATTCAGGTAAATATTTTTCTCTCTCTTTAGTTACACTAAAAGATAAATAATACATCAATCTCCCTTTGTTTTAAATCTTTCAGCTTCAGTTCAAACTTAAAAGAACTAAATTATTCAGGAAAAGTTATATCACATGCTGTAATTGAATTGTTGTACGCCAAACACAAAAGTTTAAAATATTTAAAATTTTTCTCCATTCAAGAAAACAACAGCAAAGGTTAACTTACTGGGATGGGTAGTTAGACTTTGTTTGAGTATAATGTTGCATCTGAGAAGGTTCATCATCTGCCAGTGTGGCCAGAACAAAATTGGCTTCAAAGGAAAGGTCACTATTGATGGAGAGTGTGATTGGCCTGGAAATAATTTTTAGAAGGTCACAGGCGTCCACTAAACTTTTTGTACTTTTGTTAATGTTAACTTTTGATATTTTTATCGAGTAAAAACTTTTTTAAAAACATTTTATGTTTAATATAAGTAGTTTAGATGTTGTTTGTGGAACTTATTACTCACTTATAAATATTTGGGCTTCATATTATAAGGTAAAGCTTTGAAAATATGTCATAGCAATTCTTAGCCATTAAATACTATAACTTTGCGGCACAACTAAAGAAATCACATGTGTTTAATTTTCTGAATATCCAAATGTAAGTCAACAGTTACTAAGTTCACATACCACAAACACATGAATATCTTTTCCTAACAAATACTCAGTTGATGTATGACAAACACATGTACATCTTTTTTTATAACAAATTCTCAGTTAACATACCACACATGCATATCTTTTCATAACAATTAGAAAAGCATGATTAGCCATAGACTCGAGCAGACAATCTGTTTTTTTCATTCCTTATGATTTATTTTTGTGAGTTCAATGACATAATAAGTACTATAACTGCAGTATAAAATATTGCAGTTCAGATTTTATTAACTTTTATATAATGTATAAAGGCAAAATAACAATTTCTTTTAACATTTTCTCATTTCAAGATTTAAATACTTGAAATGCTCAAAATGTGTTCCAGTTGTGACTGTTCATGCTTTACTAGTGATCGATTTTCTTAAGGATTTCAATACTTTCCAGCTCCTTCAAACTGCAGTGTGATTGGCAGTCCAGTTATGTCTGCAAAAGCCAAGATTGCCTGCGTGTAGAAGCAGTTCATTATATAAAATTTAAACAATCTTTTTTTAAAGATGACTTGCAATACAAAGTTTGAAGTTTGATCAGTTCTACTTTTTTTTCTACAATTTTTACCATATCCAACAAGAAGTCAACAGTTTCATTTTGAACATTTGCTATAAGTAGAAAGATGATAATTTACAAACAAAATCAAGAGAACTTTGACAGAATCCTGATACCTAGCCTAAACTTTAGTGACTTTGTATTTCTTTTACTTACCCATGAATTCTCTTAAATAATACTTACAAATAATACCATCAGGAAATTTTTTTTTTTAAATAAATGAAGAGCATATTGCCCTCCATGGAAACAAACATCATATTAGCCTCCATCAAAACAAACACAACAACTTGATAAATGCACAGTCTTCATAGAAGGTGTACTTTAACTGATTAAATGAACAGCCCTAGAACTGGATGAAACTTACCCTCAACTCTTTTAGGCAGAAGGTTACATCCGTATCCACTCCAATCTGATAGTTCTCAAATTCATTGGGTGAAAGGGTGAATTCTGTGTGCATTACTTTTTTGGGATCTGTTTCAGGCATGGGTATGAAAATATATTGTAATTACTTTATCTCTCCATTCAACTAAAACATATTCAACGTTTTTTATCTGCTGATGTTGTAGCAGTTTACTTGCATATGTTTAATATTTCAGATGCACATCCCCGGAGAATTTTTAATTTTAAGTACTTTAATTTTTAACTTAAAATTCTTAAAATTGAATTATTAAAAACCTACTTTGAGTAAGCATTATTATTTTTGTTTTATAAATGTAGGCCATCTTTGATGCTTGTAATTCTTTGTTCTTTAAATTATGATGGAAACTTAAATAAAGATATGATGAAAGTGTGATACAAACACAAACTAAAAAGAAATATCTTTCCAGATAGGGTAGGGGAACGTTCTTACCTGGTTCATCCTCCACATAATTTTTCAAAGCTACAAAATCTGGCCTAACAATTAAAGTTATTTCTTCTTGTGTGTTCTGAAAGTTGAGCACAGCATCGCAAAGGAGTCTGTAAGTTAAAAAAAAGGAAAAAAGTTTTTAATAACACAAATAAAAGTATGAACCCATTATACTCAGAGGGAAAAAATCAAACCAAAGAAAGGGTTGACTTGACAATTCATTGTTTTCTTGTCTGAAGTTAAGTCTACCTTAATATTGCAGCTAAAAGTTTTAAAATAATGAGATGCCTATTTCTCATATTGGAATTATCAGTAAGAAATTCAGACCATGTTATTATCATTTTAAATAACAACCTAAAAAAGAAAAATCAAGGCTTTACTTTGGAGGAGACGTAAACTTGTTAGGGCACATGTCTTTTGAGAAAACAGCCTGAAGTGTCTCACACTCAATGAAAGCAAGGTTGTGGGTCTTGACAATGCCTAATTGTAAATTTACAATCTTCTGTGTTAGTGATAATGGTATCAGATATATATTGCAAGATTCAAAGATGAGATCAAAGTTTTTGCAATATGTATTCATTTAATGCTCCATTTTTTTTGTAAAGCACAAAAAAGATTAGTGTGTTAATAGCTCACTTTATATGTGTCACCATGGAAAATGAATTCTTATTTTAAATCAAAGTAATTTGGCACAAGGGCAATCTTGAAAGATCACTTACCATGCCTGCAGTACATTTGAAATACCAATCTTGCTTCAGACATGTTGAGTGATATGCAACATTTCTCCACCATTTTGTCTATGGTGGCCAGGGATCTGAAGACAGTCATTATAGACTTGGGTGGAGGGGGGGAGAAGAAATGAGCTTATGAATCATTTGTCTAAAGTTTTCAATTTTCTTATCATTTAAACTGAAATGTTTTATTAGCAGCATGCTTTTATTTTCACATATAAGTTTAAAATTACAGAGAACATAGAGGTTTTTTTAAGTGACCAAAATGAAATCTTGACAAACAAAAGCCTAAGTTATGTGTCATGAACTCCATTTAGCCATGATTAAAATTAGGTAAGAAGAAGAACTTTGTGCTGTCCTCACCTTCATCCCAACCTTGCAGCGCAGAGGCTCTTCATCTAAATCTTCACCACCTCCTACAGATCCATTGATATAATTCAGAAAAAAACTGGGGGAGAACTGGAAGCAGGCATATGCTGATCTGCACGAATTGACAGATCTCAGATAGAGCTGTTAATGTGAACATAATTAATTAGTTTATGAAAACAAAGTTAACGAAAGGCAAAATTGTGTAGTATGCTATTAAGTTAACATGATAGGCATTAATAATTAACTATTTATTAACAGTAAAGAAAAAACTTGTGCAACTCACACCATCTTCCAAAGGCTCAAAATACAACTCATCTCCAATTTTTGAAAGTGACTGTATGGCCCTCCCAAAAACTGAAATAAAATTATTGTATGAACAAAACATGAAGATGAATGTATCTACACTAATCTGTTAGAGTGTAACTTTGTAGCTTCATCAAAATTATTTAATTTTTTTTTTTAGAATAGACATGGAGTTTCAGGGACCTCAGTGGTTCTCAACCTTTTTGGACTCATAGACCACTTGCAAAGTAAGTCCTTCATGTGACACATGTAATCTAACCCAAAATGTCATTTAACTTGACTTTTTTGTGTGCAACATCTACAGTTTTTTTTGTTAATGGTTAATTTCATGACTTGTTTAATGCCATTATTGGTAGATCTTTGTCATTAATAATTAATAATAACCTATTGATAATATTCAGAGCTAAAAAATATGGTTCATCAATTTGTTAACATCTTAAAATATTTCAAAGTTGTTTTGCTAGGCCATATTATTCAGATGCCCTCATGAAAGCTGCTATTTTGTCATTGGGACTTAATTAAATGTGTTTGTTTCCTGTGCATAGACCAATTTACTTTTTTTTCAATAGTTGGCCAAGTAAGCAGGCACAGTGGCCAAGAAGTTATCAGTCAAATTTTTGTTTTTATTCCTTGCAGATGATCTCCCCAATTTATAATATATGGCAAAAATTTCCTCTGGAGACCCACGGATCTTCCAAATGTGTAAATAAGAAGATTGTGTTCTAGATTAATAATGTAATTTTTCAAAGATGCACACAACGAAAGGAAGTGCCTGCATTGATGAAACTAATAACTTTCACAGGCTGATCAAACAGGGATTTATGTCAACATTGTCATGTTCAGGGTTTTAGTTTCTCTTCCAATCATTGCCTCTGCATTATTTGTGCAGACTGCAACTCATGGCAACTAAAGACTTTTAGTTTTAGAGATAGCTCATAAAGAACTGAAAACTTTTGCAAAAGAAACATAAGTAGACAGTTTCTGTCAACAATGCATTGGTCCTTTGTGTTTATTATCAATAACCATTGTTATAATTAGCTTCTAATACTTTTTTTTAAAATTTCCCTTAAACCTATTTTTAAAGCATCCACTGTCACAGACTCGACCAGGTTGAGAATAATGGAGGAAGACGTTCTTACGAACCCATGTCTATGTTTAAATTTTAAAAACTTACTTGCCTAGTAGTTCTGAATTATTATTCATAGTAAAAATTAGGACTTTTTAGACTCCTATACTGACCATAGGCTCAGTAGACTACTGACACTTTACATAGAATTAGACCTAGATAATAATGTCTTAGATTTAGACTTAGTCTACTCAGTAACTCAGTAAACTGCTGACTCAAAAAATTGTCAAAACTAATACTCACTTGACTTTACAGTGACTACAGACTGCATCTAACAGTCAAGTGTCCTATGCCTATACTATAGTTGGCACTCCTCAGAACGGCGGTCCCAAATTAAAAAGAGAATACTTTTCGTTAGAAAGTGTCCGGCTAATAGCCGCTGATATTTTGTGACGTAATTATTTATTTCAAATTTTGTTTGCAGACTAATTAGTGCTTGTAATAATATAAAATAAAACCATGGCCGGCAGATCTCAAGCACCGGTTCATATTTCAAATAATGTTTTGTCAGGAAACATTCTACAAACTTATGACACAATGCAGAAGGCACTACTGTATGCTTTAGTTAGTGTGGCTTGCTGAACACCGTCTAATATAAAATATAAAACAGCAATTCAACAGAGATAACTTTTGTTTCTCTTACATTTTTCTTTTCTTTTTCTTTTTTCTTAGTTTTTTCCAGGAGAGGACAGATGATGATGAAGAGCCTGATGAAGATCTCGAATAATATTGTGTTTTTAATTTAGGACCGCCGTTCTAAGGAGTGCCCTATAGTCTATAGGCTAAATTGGGAAAGTACCAATTCAAGTCTTATTCAAGATGATCTTATACTTATGTTATTAGTCTTGTGGCGTTTTCCACTAATCACTACTGACTTGACTCATGATATTCATGTCTAACTGTCAACTAATATAAATTTAGAAATTATAATTAATCAACCAATAAAATTTTAATTCCTAAAATGTACCCTTTTAACAAAAAATAAGAAAAAATAAGGGGAGTGAATCCAAAACAAAGTCGTCGTGGGCCGCTCAATCTGAAACAGCCGCCTTGACTTATTATTAATAGTCTAATATTTACTGCCCAACAGCCGAACACTTTGACTTACACAAGGGTGACATTCAAATCAACTTTATTGACTTGAAACTTAATTCTCACTCACTAGGCAGCAGGGTATTAAGATTAAGACTACTAGGCTTTTCATTTTAATAATTTATAAAAAGTCCCTAGTCCTAGTTCTTAAAATTATAAGTTTACTAATTACGTTTTTAAACATTAATATTAATTTTATTTACTTAAACTTAAAAAAGTAATACTACTTGTAGGCTTAGATGTAGTAGATAAATAATTTATTTATTTTTCAAGCCAGCTGCCAAGACCCAAGACTAAAACTAAAAGTCAAGTGCAAGTTGCCAAGAACTGATGAACTGAACAGTCCTTGTAAACACTCAGTGAGACTGAATTTCAGTGAACAACTAATAGACAACTAAGATAAACTTTATTAATTAAATATTTGAACCACATGTTAACCTCTGAGATTGACCCCTGGTATGACACATTTCATTGAAGTCATATTTATTCAATCCGAAAAAATCAATTATAGTCCATATTCTAAGATTATGGGGAAGAAATAACATGTTATTTTATTCCACACAGGGTGTTACAATTACCGAGATCTGAGATAAATCCGAGATTAATGGTAACTTTTAACTACCTTTTAACTATGAAATGTTAAAATTTTAAAAATGCATATTTTAATTATTTATATTTTTTTTTCTTGTATAAAGCTGTCGTCTAGCATGGTATTAATTTTCTTTTCAGTTTTTTTTAGATAATACATTAATTATATTTAATTTTATAAATATATTTAATTTCAAATTACTTCCACTGTCTCATATGTCTCAAGGATATAGAGTAAATTCAAATAATACTTTTTAAATGAAGAAATAGAAGAACATTTTGAAGATGAAGTTGACACAGAAAGTCAACATAGAGTTGAAATTCGTCAGTCGAAAGCTTCAAGGCTGCCCTGGCATCAGCTAGGAGCTGTTAGAATAGCAACATCATATCCCCAACCGTTGCAAAGTGCCAGTACATGGATGCAGCAACGAAACATTACAAGAACCAGAATAGGCCAGGGTGATGATGATGTTGTAGAAGATACTAATGAAATGACAATTATTTTTCTGTTGGAAAAGACAGAGAAACAAAATGGAATGATAATCAAACTTCAAACAGAATGCGTTTGAGAAGTAGTAATTTAATTAGGAAACATTAATGAATTATATGCTCTGCAAAAATGGTTCGTACTCTCATAAAAGCTGGAATGGCCTGTTCAGTGATATACTACTATACAAATCAATACCTTGAAAGCATGAAAACATAAAATTTCAGCAAGAAATAGATGCGAGACCAATTGTATAACCTAGGGAGATATGTATGATGATGGCCAATGGTCAAATTTTGTGCATGAAAAACATGATTAGCATCAACACCCAAATTATTCATTTTGAAAATTATCAAAATATTTTTTGAAGAAACGAGTTTTTAATATGTTGAGTAAGGAGAGGGCCGGTAGTGAAAAGGAAGCAGGACACACCAGAAGCAAAATATATTAATATTTAAAGAGATAAAATATATTATATAACAATCTTTTTATTTTTTAAATAATTTTTTAACAGTGTTAACATTAATTTTATAATTTAAAAATTTTTATATTAAAATTACTATTATATTATTAAAGAATAATCCCAATAACATTTCATAACCAATTTTTAAGCATATGATGTTTAAATCATGATCGTGCAGAAGCATAGAATCAAGATAGAGTATAAGTATATATATAATTATAGGCTATAGAGTTTAAAGTTTTATTTCTTGTATAGTATTCCATAATTGTCTTGAATATATGATCTAAACTGATGAATTTCTTATTTGAACTCCTCAGATAAATGGTGAGGGATTATGTTATAGAACACCATACAGTAAAATGAAATTAACTTGTTGTCAGTACAAAGTGACTGGTGTTAAAACCAGGGCAGCAAAGTCTAAATATCTACATTAAGCAATTTGGTTGATAAAAAAAACACTGATTCTTTTTAGGCTTTGTTTCATTTGTTTAAAAATGAAACTCGGAAAATTTAACAAATTTTATATAAAAAGCTTAATTTACTACCCATCAAATTTGGTATAAATGGCTTTTATTTCAAGAATGACATTACAAGGTATAAATTTCAAGCAATTTTTCTTTCGGAATGGGATGAATGTTTATTTTTGTAAATGAATGTATGTAATTCAAACTTTCTGTCCATGTAAACATAAATTTATTTTTAAAATCTTTCAAGTAAACATCATTCTCATGTAAAAATCTCTCAAACACTAGTTTCTAAAATAAGTTTTTTCTCACCTCTTAATGTAAGTTGTTATCTTTCAATTTCAAGTTATATCTTAATATTCAAACCATCTTAAATAAAATATAAGTTTGATACAAAACTATTCAATACTGGTTTTAAAAGATATATAGCTATGAAGAGCAGAACAGCAGCAAGCTTTTTCTAACAAATTTCAATAATAATAATAATAAGACGTCTTTTATAGCGCGGTACCCCAGCCTAGGGCTGGGCTCACCGCGCTGTACATAAAAATTTTATCAAAAGAGACATAATCATGACATTAAAATAAAATACATTTATGAAATGAAGAACAGCAATGTATATTCACCCACCCCACCACATAACTTTTACAAGGCAAACCATGGACGGCAGCCAGCAAGATCGTTTATCGGTCAGAGGAGGGGAATCAGTCAGGGTAGTATAATTTACTATTTACTGGTACCTTTTAAATGAAATTTTATGCACAACTATAAATAATGTCAAGTAAAGTAAATAATATTAATTTTCTTAAAGTTAAATGCGATTAAAAACGTATTATGACTTGATACTTAAATAAAAATATAAAAAGCTTACAAATTAGTATTATTCCAATTTATAAGGATTTTTAAAAAACACTTTGGGTATAAAGGTTCTAAAACATTTGAAAGGTCACATAAACATTTTTAATACCGGTCACATTTTTTTTTCAAAAAGAATAACATTACATATAATTTTTTCTTCAGCAAAAATACATAAATGAATCAAAAGAACACATATTTCTAGCCACTAAAATTTTAAGTCTTAATCTCATTCCTCAAAAATCATTTCAACTAAATCATCTTTACAGCACTTTTCCTCTTCCAATCTCTTAGGCTGTTGAAAAAAAAACACAGAGAGTCAAAAATGTTACAACACTTAGGCAGCTTTTAGGACAACAATGTAAAAACCATGGATTATTCCTTTATCCACTATATTCAGTTAATTAATATTTAAATATTAACAAATCAATGTTTGTGCTGTGAAATAGTGAAATCTAAATAGCGATGCCTTCGACTTACCGAGCCAAACTTAAGGAGTGTTGGTACACGCTTCACAAAAAACTGGGGATCTGTTCTAAATTCATTATTAGGGTCTCTCCAGCTAAAATTAAAGTTGCATTAATAAAAATATTTTTAACGTACAGGGCAGGGACACACAAAAATTCATTGAAAATATTAACATAGCTTTATAGATAAATTAACTAGACTGCTTCAATTTAATATTGTACTTTTAATTTAATATATTATTAATCATTGGTTAATATATATACAGCACAATAAAAACTACTAAACTTACCTGAGCTTATCACCTACGAGGCAATATATCAATGTTGATTTTGTTGGTGATTTTTCAAAACCTTTATTAACCACTGGATAAGCTGTGGAAAGAGAAGAAAATAAAATAGAGAAAAGACATTTTTTATGACATAAATTTAAATAATTTACACTGCACTATTAATATTTAAATTAATATATGATAGCTAGGCCTAGACATTCTTAAAGTATAATAATAATATTTAAATAATATAAACATCAAATAAGTCAACATGTATTTAGCCTATAACTATAATATACACACACACACACACATAAATATAGTAGCATTGGAAGGGGGTGCTGGGAGTTCTTTTTTTTTTCTTTATATAATATAAATTAAATATGATATTATATGAAGTCTGCACTTAAGACCAACTTCAGTAGGAGTTTTCATGGGGGGATCTTGATCCGTCCTTGGAGGTACTAAACCTAGCTACGCTACTGTATGCCTTTATTGCCTTTATTATATTAGCCTATATATATTATATTATATATATAACATGCAAATATAGATTGTGCGTTACCTTTTACACAATCAGGGCACCAGCTATCACCTTTATTATTAGGACTTCCACTAAATAAAATATAGATAGAATCTTTCAAATTCAAACCACTTAACTCTTTCTTAAGAGCTGCACAGTTGTTGACTGTTATTATTTTTCGACTTGATGCCATATTTAATGTATTTGTTTTATATTTTAAAGTACTTGTGATTGTAAATCTTGTAGATGTTTGTTTTCATCAAATGTGTTAGTAGACTGTAAACACAATGGAAATGACAACACTCGGTAAAGTTGAATAAAGTCATTCGGGTATCTTAGTTAACTTAGTAGTAGCCAGGTCTATTTATTTATATAAAAAAGTTATCGAAACTTGTGTTAAGTTTGGAGGTCAATTTGTTCTGAAAGTAAACATAATGCAATGGTAGCCAACATAATAATATATTAAATGGTATAAATATTTGTAAAAAGTAACAAAAATGTTGTTTTGATTTTTAAATTTTATTTATTTATTTATTTATTTAAACAAACTCGATCGACCGGTGGTAGCTCTAATTTACAATACAACTTTAATTTTAATAAAAGGACAAGTTGAAAAAAAAACAAAATGCAGTTCAGTAAGTTACTTACGTAAAAAAAAAAAGAAAAAAAAGTTATAGTTATATAGTTATAGGCATATCTGCCTATCTTACATCTGTGAAACTTTTATTTAACCAGCGTGTAACTACAGTAGTTATTGTAGTCAATTGAATATTCAACGAACGAGCATTTATATTTTACATCATCTAAATTTTTCAACAATGACAGTGACAGCGTCTAGCAGGCTATATATTTAAAAAAGGTTTTGAAAACAAACATTCTAGAATGTAGACTGTAGAGGTTGTGCTTAAGAGATAATTGCTTATCAGTGGTGAATATCAGATTTTGAACTAATTTGTACACGTTCTTTTTTGATTGGGCTTTGCCATATTTCTGGAAAGGACTTAGGTGTACCGTATAGTATAGTATAATAAGGGTTGTGGAGCTCAAAATCTAGGGGTCGTTTGCAAATTTTGTCACGCTCAGGCGGTAGAGGGGGTAGAGAATTTGTGACACTTTATGACAGGGGGAGGGGGATAAAAAAATTGTGACGTCACAATTTGAAAAAAAAAAATAATACATCTAACATTTTCTAATTTTGAAAAATCTTTATTCAATTAATTTTTAAAACATTAATTTGAAGTCTAAATTGCCTCAGGTGTTATGGGTACCGTGAAACTCAGTTGTGCATACCTTATGCACATAGCGAAAAATGAAGCAAAAATTGTTATGGCCATGTTACATTCGGCTAGTAAATGACTTCATTGTTTCGCGTCACAGTTTTCAAATAGTTCTACATTTTAATCCATTATCACGATGGGAAAATGTTAAAGAATAAAATAAAATCTTAGTTTAGTTATGAAAATTTTATTTATGTTTTGATTTTTTTTTAGGTGTGACATGACACTAAAGGGGGGGGGGGTGAAGTCACTAAGGGCTTCCACAATTACTTTTAAGCCAAGGAGGATTGTGCCTCTCAAACTTTTTTCAGCTCAACGGTCACTTGGGCTTGGGTGCATAATATTTAAATTTACAATAGTTTTGTGACTAATGAATATATTTTCTGTGAGTTAATTAGTAAATTTAAAATTGTGCCACCTGCTTAAGTTTAAGATTCCCACGCCTACTGGGGTAAACATGATGGACTACCTTCTCACTCTTTTAATATTATAGACCATTCAAAAGTGGCTTATTGTTTTCTATTTATAATCAAATTCATTTATAGTCAGAATGCTTCAATTTATTTTCTTTGACATTGGATGCCTTTACATTAATTAAAGACCGGATTGTTTTTCTTTGCAATTTTTACAGGCCTAAAAATTTTTATATAAAAATATCATTAATTAAAATTTAATCATTTTTATAATTATCATCTAATATCTAGATACCCTGTATATTTTGTGGTAATACAATCATGTAACGCAAAGGCCAAATAATAATTTTAAAATCATATGCAGCCTTTTTAAAAATACTTTAATTTTTTTATGAATAAAACACACACATGAATATTCCTTGAACACACAATAATTATAATGTTTAAGTTTCAGGATATAATAATAAAGTCACACACACAAAAAAAACAACAAAAACAAAAAAAAAACTGAATTTTAGAATTAGGTGTCAGTAAAATTTATTTACATGTAACTTACTTAGCAGAATAAAACTTATGCATAAAATGTATTTAAGGCAGAGTTTTGTTTAAAATATGATTGTTTTAAGATTAAATGCAATTCTTAAAAATTATAGAGGAAGTTATTAATCTAAATAAAATGACTGGGTGATAAATGCATGAAAGATAAGGAATGTTGTTCAATTCTAAAATTTAATTGCACTTGCACAAACTAACACCAGTAAAAGCTAAACAGGGACAGTTAGCCATAAAAAAACAACGCTTGCAGGGGATGTGTGAAATTAAGAGACTAGAAACCTCATCCACAAAGCTCCATGTTAAAAATAACTTTAACACAGCTTACTGATGGACAATGCAAGATTTCATGGTGATTAAACAAAATTGATGAAAAAAAAAAGATTTACAAATGCATCTTAGCTTTACTATAAATGCCAAAAGAAGCACCTTTAATTCATTAATGTGCCCTCATTCAACTTGTACTCTGTTCATCAAATAATAGAAATGACATAAATATCTGAGTAGTAAATGAAGGAGAAAAAAAATGACATTCTTCATCTATTAATTAGATGTCATTACTAGAATATAAAATTTGTCTCAAAACTTTACAATTCTCCTGGACAAAGACAATATAAATTCATACTTCAAGCGCAACAATATTGGAAAGCAATAAGGTTTAATAAAGTTTCAAGACTTCAGTTTGAAAAGCATCACATGCAGCCATACTTTTGTGTGTTTTAATAAAAAGCTTCTCATGTGGTAATTTACTATGTAGCTGTGTCTTTTAATTAAACGCTCCCAGTGAGTTACTAGGATTATATATAGGTAGAAGTAGATATAAAACGTCAAAACCAAGTAAAAAGAAAGTTCCTCACTTAATTGAACGATTAATCGTCCTTAAAAAATGAAAAAAAAAAAAAAAATCAACAGCAAGTGATATTGTAATGTTGATACAACATACAATTTTTGTGAATTTTATCAATAACAATTTAACAGTACATTAAAAAAAATTAAAGCTCCATAATCCCCCCTAACCCCTCCCTCCTCCCGATTTGATACAAATTACAAATGATAAATTTGTGTCACTATGAAATTGAAACCTCAAACATTAGACGACATAATTTAAAGCCTCCTCAATAAAGCCATCTTAATCTTTGACCTCAAAGCTTTCTTAATCCTCATCCTCATAGAGCCATTTAATTCACTTCCTCAGGAAGCCATCACTTTCAAAAACTCATTTAATCCTCTTCCTCAAAAAGCATTCGGATTAAGTCATCTTTGCAGCATTGTTCTTCTTCCAATTTCTGAGGCTGTTGATAAAGAAGGAAATTTAAGTCAAACAGATTGAAAATATTCATTGAAAAGATACAAGGAAGGCCAAGAAGATATAGCCTATAATAGTGATAACTATTGAACTTTGAAATGGGCACCGTGCATGTGTATAAAATATATACTGGTACATAAAATAACATTATCGGCTCATCAAGAATATAAATTAAGCAAACAAAAATGTTAGCAATAATTTAAAGATATATATGGCTTTGAATTGTACTTTATTGGTTGTTAATTTGAGACAGTTTTCAGTAGCATCTGGCCTCATTAGATCTTCTAAATGTTCACCAGTCAAACCGTTACGTTTTCTGGACTTAATGTTAGTCTTTACATAGAATCCAGTTTGACATATGTAGGTTTTTTCAAAGACATGATCAATTTTTTGCTCTGCTGTGTTTAACATAAATTACTGCTACCTATCAAGTCTCACTCCTTAGATTTTTTTACCTCTCCCTGTTCCATGTTACGGTACAACTTTTCCTGTGCTGGCCTGTGATTTGCAACAACACTGAATCAATGAATGTTGTTTGAAAATATTTCCCCCATAAAATGTTTCATTTTTGACACACACCACAAATATTTCTTTAGCTGTCGCGAGCCTTTTAAAATCAGTTCATGGGCCTCTATGCTGCCCTGGGGCCACAGGTTGGACAGCACTCCTATAGAGTATACCTTGACCTCACTCCTATAGAGCATACCATGACCTCTGAGACATTTAAGAAGGATTTATCAACTTACAGAGCCAAACTTCAAGAGTGTTGGTACACACTTTACCAAGAACTGGGGGTCTTTTCTAAATTCATTATTAGGGTCTTTCCAGCTGAAATATAATGAAAATATCCATAGATCATAAACAATTAATTTAAAAAACAAATGTGCTGCCAAGTTTTTACAAATTATTAATTATAAGCCATTAGATACTGACTGATTTAATCAGCGGTGCAAAGTTTATTTTGAAAATGTTAGCAATTGAGGCATGTTGTCTGGAAGTTTTCATATGAGTGCTAAAAATAAAAGATTTCGTTGGTATATTATCCCAACTCAAGTAACCCTTACTTTTTGATGACACCAATGACATCTAAAAAAAAAAAAAAGCCAAAGATACTTACAAGGTTCTATCACCTACAAGACAATGTATGAGGGTAGAATCTTCTGGTGCCCTATCTAGATTTCTTTCTATCACTGGATCGGCTGAAAAAACAGAAGTTTTCATATGAGTGCTAAAAATAAAAGATTTCGTTGGTATATTATCCCAACTAAAGTAACCCTTACTTTTTGATGACACCAATGACATCTAAAAAAAAAAAAAAAAGCCAAAGATACTTACAAGGTTCTATCACCTACAAGACAATGTATGAGGGTAGAATCTTCTGGTGCCCTATCTAGATTTCTTTCTATCACTGGATCGGCTGAAAAAACAGTATGCATTTATATTGATTATATTGCCTCTCTTAGTTCTCTTATAGGATTAATATTTTTTCCCTTAACATTAATTACATAGTTTAAATTTGTTAAGAATCATAGAAAGTTCATGCATATGTATGCCAGGTAGCTAAAGTAAATTAAAATCCATTTATAAAATCTTAAAAACTGAAATGTAACTTTTGACCTTCCAAACAAACTATGAGTAGCATGATAACATTTTATTTTTCATGAAAACAAAAAGTAATTAAATGAGCATTCAGTCCATTTCAGCATGTACTTAAGAGCTGTGTAGTTCAATGAAATAAAACTTGACAATGTATGCTTGACGCTTCGCTCCCGAGATTCTGAGTGACGTCCCCTTTGTTTAAGTCGCCGATTGTTACTAGAGTTAACCATAATCATTTTCTATATTAATACACTGATGGAATGTTTTTGATTGATGGCTTTTTAAAAAAATGATATTTTATTGGGTTTTTAATTATAACATTTCAAAATAAGGCCATTTATTTAAAAACTTCCATTTTGACTGAGTCGTTGTCTGATAATTTTGTAAATTGGATTTTTAATTTTTGGATTTATAAAGTGTAAAAGTGTAATTAATGAAGTGTAAATTGGGATTTTTATTCGTGTGTAACTGTAGCACGCGAATATATTGTTTTTGGGTCCATGTTAGGTCACAGATTTTAGGTTTGAAAATTTACTATCAAGTTGGGGGCAGTGGCGTAGCAAGGGTGTTTGGCACCCGGGGACAAGATTCGCGCCCGGGGACAAGATCCATTTTAAAGGGCCCCTTTTTCTTTTTTTCAACTCTCAAACCCATTATTTTCATCAATAAAATAATATCAAAGCACATTTTGGCGCCCCTAACTAGCTGGCGCCCGGGGACATCTGTCCCCCCCTGCCCCCGCCACGCTACGCCTCTGGTTGGGGGGACTAAATTTAGGGGTGAATTTAAACTTGAGTAAGGGATACTTACTTAGCATTCAGGTTAGGTAGAGTTGTAAATTTTAGATTTCAAGCATTTTTGTGGAGAAAAAAAAATCATGGTTTTCTTTGGGGTTAATTTTTAATATTTTTTCCCTTTAATTAATTTAAAAAATGTCTTAAATGTGCTGATTTCTAAGCTGCTGTGTTTTTTTGCAATACTTTTATTTTTTCAAACAGACATCCTCGTAGTTGATTTATTGTCATGATAGGTCTGATGGCAACAAAGATGACAGCCTTGTGGAAAAAAAGTAGTGCAAAAAGAATGTAGAACGGGGGGAAACGTCAAGCGTACTATAACCATAAATTATTTAATATAGGACTGAATTCAGAATAGGGTGTTGTTAAGCTTTGTTGTCTAATATAATCGACAGTGGTGAACGTGGGAATTACTGGGCAATTAATAAGGCATATTAATATTAAGTTTAAGTAAAGGTAGTAAAAATGCTAGAAATTTGAGAATAATATAATATTAATTTATAAATGGCATGCATGACGCATGACTTTATTTCTACTGAAGACAGACTTCAGACATAATTATTAACTGAACATTTGAATTTGAGTTATTTCTTAACTTTAACTTATAATTTAAGTTATTAGGATAGCCTTTTATTGATATCTGCTATTTTATTTATTTAATCAGTACAGTCTATACCTACATTAATGTTTTAATTTAAGTTTAGGTAGTGGATATTCGGACTCGGAAAAGAGTGAGAGGTTGGGTTTATTAAAAAATATTAAAAATATTATTGAAATTTTCATTGTTGACAAAATTCGGTTAAAGATAATTGAATGGACTATATATTAGTATATTTTGATTGTAAACTTACTTCTTCAGTTTAACTACTAAAATAAACGGTAAAAGTGCAGTTCAGGTGAGCATATTATTTCTGGTCGAATTTCGTATTTTTGCGTGTAAAATTATGTGAATATTTCATAAAAGTATTTTTTAAAATAAAATGCCATCTTTTTGTTGGAATACAACATTTTAACAAATTTTATGAGATAAAAAAAGTACATTTTGATGGATCTCTTGTCTTTTTTACGGAGCCATTGTGGTAAATCAAGGATAACTCTTCTGTCTTTAAAGATACGTTATAAAAGTTGGCCAATTAGATGTATCGGTAAATTTTGAGTTAACGGTATGGGTTTTGCCAAGAGTTTTCTCACCCTAAGCGCAGTGACGTCACATTTGGGAATCCCAACACTGGACTTAGGATGAATAGATCTATTCTTTGAAGGACCCATACGATGTGTGTGATAACATTCCTGTTCTTTATTGAGCATTACTCACATTATAAACGATACAGTTAATATGAAGTATATTGAAATGAAATTTTCAATTACTTTGTATTAAAATTCAACTTACACGTTTCAAAAGAAAGGAAAAAAGAAACACATCCTTGCAGATACCCCAACACCCAGCACTGGTGAAAATTAAAAAAGATGCCGGCCAAAATTACTGTATTTTGATTAGTTGAAATCAAAATACCTGTATGTTGAAACTTAGGTAACAAAAGGAAGAATACTGCTTAAATTGCATTTAGAATGATCTTCTAGGAACTGGGGAGGGGAGACCCCCTCCCTAAACCCCTCCCCTCGCTTTAAATACCAAAATAAAAAACATAGAAATTCTCTTGGGAGGGGACAATCTAACAAAAAATGTAAAATAAGAAAACAATAACTTGCATTATGCAAATACAAACATCGAAATCTTTTAGTATGGCGGTGTAGACGGAAATGGACCTGGGGGAATCTCTGTGACCTATATACCGTGGAACACACCGTCAGCCTTACCGCTAACTTAAAACCAGCTGGATGTATCTTGTAGTATGGCATTTATTTTATAACTTTACTATCAATTATAACAGGAGTTATAGGGAACTCTCATACTTGACATATGTAGCCAGTTTACAAGCCACATTGCAATTGTTACATTCCATTTTGTTCTTCAAAGGGGAGCGCCTTGCGAGAAATTCCATAGTTGTATTAACGTTATTTGTTGCCTCACAAAGTGCACGTATAAAACAAATGCTGCATCATTTAAAATTTTCGTTGGATTAACAATTTGAATTATTGTTTCTTTGTCATTCTGCCATTTTGAACTGTGATCCCACTACCAGCAATACCGCAAAACGAGTCTGTCTTATTATATATAATCACTAGCCCTCACCCTCATTTTACTCAGCTCAAATCAGTCAACATAAGCGCATTTACATACGGAAAAAGAGGAGGGGTGCTCAAATTAGAGCTAACCAAGCCATGACCCACTAAGAGTACTCGTAGGTCGTGACCAATCACAGACAACGTATTTGCAGCCATCAGTATGCGATGACTATCAATAAATGACCCCATGCTATCATTCTGATTTCCCCATTTCTGCAACGTAGCAAATATTTTTTTTTAAAGTGGACACGTGATCACACATTGGCACGAATTCATGGACCATCCCCCCCCCTCCTTCAGCTCTACTCCAGGACAATGATGATGTGTGTGTCTGCTGCCGTAGTCGGTAATCCACTTCTAGTCATTCCCCCCCCCCCAGCCCCCAAGTCTTCAAGGGAATCCCCGTATTTCGTTTAGATCACACATTGGCAGGAATTCATGGACCATCCCCCCCCCTCCTTCAGCTCTACTCCAGGACAATGATGATGTGTGGGTCTGCTGCCGTAGTCGGTAATCCACTTCTAGTCATTCCCCCCCCCCAGCCCCCAAGTCTTCAAGGGAATCCCCGTATTTCGTTTAGCATACTAACTTATAAGTGATTAAAAATCTGGCCAGAGGATGGAAAAAAATTACAAAGACAAAAAAAATGGGGCTAGGTAACTTTGGTTGGGGGAAGTTTAAAGACGCAAATAAAAAAGTGCAGTATAATTCAGTATTAGTTAACTATAACTGCCTGGATTTAAATAACAAAGTATACTCATAAGTTTACATAAGAAAATATGAAATGCGTTAAGAAATAATATATTATTATGCACCAGAACTGCATTTTACTTTTACTTTTACCAAATAAACTACTACAAATGACACCCCAATAGTGCCAATGCCAATACTAATTACTAATAGCGATTTAGTATGATTTAGTATAAGTCTAAAGCCCACTAAATTTAAAGGGACCCGGGTCCGAATAGTATAGCCACAGCGAAAATAATTTTAAGTTTACCTTTGACACAGTCTGGGCACCAGCTGACACCACTATCATCTGGACTTCCACTAAATAAAATAAACACTGGCCCCTGAACTTCAGTTAGGGCCTTTTTAAGAGCTTCATAGCCCTCAACAGTAATTGATCGAACCATTATTTGAAATTTTAAACAGAATATCGAATATGAACTTCCAGTCTTTTACTTGTTGACTATTGTCTTGATGTCAGCTGACTGCTGAAAGCTCATACAAATATTTAACTCTTCTATCTTCTGTCTATTGTCCTTTTTTATATTATTTATTTCTTGAAGAAGTTTATATTTTTAAGTCACATGCCATTATTGCTTATATAGTTATAGGTAAGTCATGAGACTTTAAGTATAAGTATTTGTAAATTATAAGAGAAAGCCTACTGAACTGAAATTGTGTATTAAATATCCTATACATTTTTTAACTAAATGAATTTTTGTATCGAATTGATATAATTTTTCTTTGAACATTAGACAATTTTTACTAATTTTAATTTCATTCTTTACAGTAAGATTTTTAAGTCGGTGTGAGTATGATTAATGCGGTGATAAAAGTAAGACCCTTAAAGCTGTGCATACCTTCCAATAAATAAATGGTATTTGGACCATTGATTTCTTCTAAGAAATTTAATAATTGACAGAAGCGGGGTGATTTAGGTTGTGCGTTGTTAATTTAATAACGAAACGGTAATGTTAAGAAGATTATGGAGACACAAACAATTTTGTAAATAAAATAATATATGTTAAACTTAAATAAAGGATACACTACACACTACAAATGCAACTGTTTCGGTAAATACCTTCATCAGTACAAAAAATGCATACATTTTTATAAATTTAGATTATACATATATATATATATATACATCCTACCTAAAATGAAAGAAAAGAATAAGAATGCGCATTTATATTCTATGTAACATTATTAAAGCTTAACCTATTTTGTTTTATTTACACAATTGTTGTCTCATCAATCTACTTGAAAGCATTATCGCAGTCGTACACTCTTATAACTACTGATAGTTAATTAATATTAAGAAATGTATGCTCAAATGATAGCACTGTTGTTAGGAAATAAACTCAGGGTATGGAAAAAATCCGAAAGAAGAGATAAAAACACAATTAACGTTGAATGTGTTGGCAAAAAAGCCTAGTTCAGTGAAGAAATTAACAGAAGACATGAACAATAAAAATAGTTCTTCTTCTTCTTCTATATCTTAAGGGCCCACGATCAATTTATTGATCATTTTGGCTCCTAAATAAACCATAACCAGAAGGCCTAAACCTTATAATTTATATTTAATGGCAAAAAAATAAAAATTTAAGATAGAGTAATGATATTGCAGCATTAAATAGACTGTTACTATTATTTTTACCCTCTGAAAATGAAATAGTAGGATGGGAGAAAACATTTTTCAGTGCATGTTTCTCTGCGGTTTTTTTTTTTTTTTTTTTTTTTTTTTGAAAGTTTAATTTTTTTTTTCTTAATTTTTCCCCCATTTTCAATGTAGTTGTTTTAAAAAAATTGCACCTACTCGTGCAAAAAAATTTTCTCCGAGTATCCCTACACA